GTGCGAGAGGGAGAGAGAGAGAGAGAGAGAGAGAGAGAGAGAGAGAGAGAGAGAGAGAACGCAAACAACAGCCGAAGGATCTTTCTTCATTGACAAGTGCTCTTGAATATTCCCTGTGGGCCAAGCACTGACCAAGTACTAGGATCCAAATGGGATCTTGTTGTTGAACTAATCCTTTGCTACATTCCAGGAGCCAATTCCCTAATTCTGGTTTTCTTAGAAGTTTCAGTTGAGTGGAAAGGGCTTAAACAGGTAGGATAGCTCTTGGCAAACAGGTCAGTAAGGATTCTTAGTTACTTTAATTCATAAATAAAACTAAGAAAACTTTGTTCTTATATAGGTTTGCAGGAGCTGGAATCTCGACTCTTGGTTCCCGGAGATATTCTTATTCTTCCAGGAAAATTATCATTGCCTTGTGATGCTGTTTTGATCGATGGGAGCTGTGTGGTGAACGAGGGCATGCTCACAGGTAGGCAGCTTGCCTCAAGCTAGTCGTCCCTATCCAACAGCTAGGCCAACACTTAGCAAATCAGATCACCATACATCTTCCCTGCCCCAGGCTCCATCTCCACATTGATAGATAAGGGAGATAAATTTGGCCTTTTCATTCAAATAGAGGCACAAAACACTCCAACAGGCTGTGTTGAACAATGAGAAGAACTAAGTCACTGTAAATACAAAATATTTAATACCATATGTATTAAATGAAGAAACACTTAATATTGTATGTCATTAATTGCCTGATGGGTGGGGTGAACAGGGTGAATAAAGAGAGGCTTCAGTAGGTGAACAGGTTGAAAGACAATCTGTTCATAAATATGAGACTGGCTCATGCCCATATTCAAGCAAAACACAACCCACAAAACCCAGCAATGCCCACAACTGGAAGGGTATAAAGATATTTTTTTCTAGTCTTGCATTGTACGGATGGAAAACTACTTCCAGGTTTCAATGGAAAGTTTTAGTTGAACCTTAAGGTAGAAACAGTACAACAGCTCTGTTCTCCTTTGGACTCATAATTCCAGTTGATCTCACTGTACAGAAAGCTCTAGTTTTCGTTTACAGTTCATTAGGTTTACTCATATTTGTATAATTAGTAAGGCACTATTTATAAAATATTCTTTAGTTTGAAAAATAGTTGTCATAAGAGATGCTATAAAACAACACAAACATAGAAACTACTTTTCTTTTGTGCTTGCAGATTGTTAAGCTTTTCTATGTCCAAATGGTGTAAAGACAGGGAGGAAAAACCTTAATACAACCTAAATGTAATGAAAGTTCATTATCCCTAAATTGTTCCACATAAGCAGATTTCACATTAAAAATGAGTCTGCTTAATTTAAAATTGAGACAAGAAAATGTAGTAAACATAAATATGTTTGGTATAATTACAAAATACCCCTTTAATGTGTTGAAATCTAACTGCCTTATAATGACAGTGATGAGGATTTGCATACTGATCATATCTTTTATCCAGAATGTTGCCATAGTACCCAACACGAAAACCTCAAGCTCAACAAAAACTGTCCTTTTCCCTCCAATGCAGCCGCTGTCTCCCAGCTGCTTGTGAGGCAGAATGGCCGCTCTCACTGGCAACAGAAAGGCTGTGCCCTTGGTCTGTTCTTTCTCCTCTCCCTGACTGGACTGTACAGTGCTGCCCTTGATTCTCAGGAAAACTCAGAGAGTTCCAGAGAATTAGAAGTGGCGAACAATGCTGCCTTTCAAGAAATGGGTAAAATCGACCTAAAATGACCTAAAATGATAAGTGGCTTTTTCTAATGTTCATTCTGGGAAAAATTAAGGGGCCAGTATTACTATCTATGTAACCTAAGTACCGTAAAAGGCAACTAAGGTGACAGACACATGAAATGGAGACATATATACAACTTTCTCATTAATTTCTTCACAAACTTTTAAGTCTCAGCATGCTCTAAATACTTTTTATACAGCCTACACCCCACCTCCCACCATGTACATATTTGTGCAAAGGATCCTGTTTGAACAATCAGAAGATTAGGGTTAGATTACTGAAACTGCAATTGTGTTCCTAGGGTATTTGTCCACAAATTCGATTCAGATTCTGGTAGGGGGAAAAAAAACAAACCATGAAAATCTTTATTGATGTAATAATAAATACGGCAAACACTCTTACATCACTCTTGCAACATATTTTATAAATAACTTTTACATCTCACTTCTTTGTGGCACAAAACAGATTAGATTGGGAGTTATTATCGTACCACTTTACAAGTAGAAGAATTGGAATTGGAGGTGGCCTTTTGTTCCTGAACACAAGGACGGTGGGAGGGAGGAAGATGATCCACAGTGGGTACAGCTGCCCTCTCCTTGTCAGGTCCCATCTCCTTTGACTCTTGTTTTCCCACCTACCGAACCTCCCCCAGAGGGGGCTCTTCCTCCTCGCCATTTGGCCTCTCCTGTTGCCACAAACTCAGCTATGCAGGATATTCAACTGTATCTTACCCCTACATTTAATTGTACTGTTGGCTTCAAATGTTGCCATTCTTGAAAGCGTCAGCTGTGAATTACCTGGCATGAGCCAGTCTTCCCCGTAGGTTAGCGGTCCTCCTGACCCTTATCTGGCTACCCAGAGTTGTATAGTGTGCGGGTGGGTGTGGTCTAGAGCAGGTCTTCTTCCTAGTCTACCCTGAACCTGGGAGACTGATGGAGGCTTGCCTACCTGGAAAGGGAGGCAGACCCAGATGCCAGTTAGTTTCCACAAAGTTAGTGCAGGTCCCTTTTCTTAGGGACATGTGACATGTAAGTCTCTTTTTAATTTGATTTACTTCCACCTATACGTGCCAGATTCTATATGTTTTATCTATTCCAATTTACATAGAAATGCAGTCGAGGGAAGGCATGGTGAACAAAAAAGATTGGTTTTCACTCTCAGGCAGTCCCTAAAATTCATGATCAAATTTATGACTGACTTTTAAAACTCAAAAATCAGTGACACCTCCCTGTTCCTTTTTTCTGCCTCCTTTTCTGAGGGAATGGATCCCCTTTAGTATCCAGCTCCCTTGGAAGGAGAGGAATCAAGAATCAAAAGGGAATATCATGGGAAGGAGAATCTATTAACACTTTGAATTCTTCTCATCATAGCTCATTTGTTTTGCTCTCATATGTATTGGGTTCTGTACTAACTTTTTACATCAGTTACTTCCTCCAAATCAGATCACCATACATCTACCCTGCCCCAGGCTCCATGCTATGACATTGACAGACAAGGGAGATAAACCTGGCCTTTTCATTCAAATAGAGGCACAAAACACTCCAGCAGGCTGTGTTGATCAATGAGAAGAACTAAGTGACTGTAAATACAAAAATCTGAGACCCAGATTAGGTAAATAATCTGCCTATAGTCACAGAGCTTACAAGTGGTGCAGATGAGATTTGTATTCATTTGGTTACACATTCATTCACTTACTTCACAAATGTTTATTAACGAGCAGTGAACAGGCAGATAAGATTTCTTTCCTTAAGGAGGTAACATCGTGGTGGAAAAAACAGAAAGCATGAGAGTACACACATGATATAAATTCCCAACAAGTATGTTTTATGAAGAAAATAAAACACCTAAATCCAGGCATTTTGTCCCCAGAGCCTATGCTTATAAGCAGTGCTTCCTCCTTCTCTTAGAAATACCTGTGTGGGAGAGGGTGGCATTCACTCTGCCACAATCTCCTGCCCCCTCCCTCCATTCATTAAATTACTCTTGTTTACAAATTTAAAACTTGCACAAGAAGTGTGCCGGGACCTAGGAGTTCCCTCAGTGTTTGTATATTGCTGTCCTGCCAGACTAGCTTCTCACCAGTCCATAGGTTAGATGGTTCCCTCTCTTCCTTTCTTGCCCCCTCTCCCTTGCTCTTGCTTATTCATCCTGTGTTTAATACAAGTTAAGAGATGCCTGCTCTGTGCCAGGCTCTGTGTTGTGTGCTGAAGTTACCAAGATGAATGGGAAATGGTTCCTGTTCTCAAATTGCTAAAAGTCAAATGGTTGCAGATATGTTAATAAACAAGGACATAGTTGTTTCCAATATGTCACCAAATGCAGGCACCTGGCTTCTTGGGGACAGGGGAGAGTATCTCCTTTTGACTGCATGAGGGGTCTCCAGATGCTGGGAGCCAATTCTACAGTTAACAGGGAGCAATGCTGGCGCTTCCTTCTGAAACCTTGTTTTAGACTCTTTAGTCTCCCAATCTTTTATAGGTGAATCCTTCTTTTGTGTGTGTGTGGGGGGGAGTGTTCCCAAGAAAGACTAAAGCATTAGATTTCTTATTAATGTAGGAATAATATAAAAGAGACTTGGAGATCATTTCTGTGTAATATCATCAGATTTGAGCTTCTATCTGGAACACATCATTGCCAGATGGCTTTCATCTTTGATTGATCAATACCTGCCTGCCTCCAATTTCATTGGCTGTGTGTGTGGGGGGGAACTGTTCACTAGTACTGTATTAACTAAAGTATCTATTGTGGATGAATATTCTTCAAGCCAAGGCAGAAAAACCTTGGCAAGTATTTCAAAAAACAATGTGGTACAAGGATTTGGAGACATGTCAAAGGTTCTGTCTCTTTTACAAAGTCATGTAGAATTCAATTGGCAAATTCACACAACAGATGTATATCATAATTGTTTTTTTTTTAATGGTATGGGGACGATGCTATTCAAGATTACTAATAAAAAATTTATAGTTTTTTATACCTTATTATGTAAAATATGTACCATGGTAGGAAACTAGTTTAAAAAAAACAATAATAGGAAAAAAATAAAGGCCTGAGTAATTGCCTTTATTTAATTCATCCATGCAATTAACAAAAATATATATTTGAACCTACTATATACTACGAGGGAAAATGAGCAGCATATAAAGCTATATATGTCAAAGTCTTATCCTTGGTTATTACCTATAAAGAGAGATAAGACCCAAATTTGTATAACTGTAATCAATATAATACTATTTCCAAATTGGAAATATGACATATTATCTTGCTAATTGAACATTTAGCAAAAGACTGATGGAATTTTAAGTTCACTTTAGTGCTCTTTAAATCTGGGAGCCAGGAAGTGTTATTAACATTTTTATTTTGTCTCTAAAATTTATCATTTTTGAACTCTGAGCAAAATTTCTTTTTTTACCTTAAGTATCTTGTCTTGCAGCCATCAAGGAAAGGGAGATAATTGGTACCAGCAAAGAATGGGAGTCAATAAAGGGAGATGAAAGGGCCTTGTTCAGCTGGAGCGTGGATGAGGAGAACCGGCCAACAGTGCCTGAATAATGCTGGGCTTTGACAAGCTAGGAAAAGGGTTTGGGCTTTATTTAGTAGTGGCAGAGGAAAAAACTAAGGGTTTTGGGGGGAAAAATGGAATAATAATAAAAAGGAGGGTTTGATAGAATTTACTGGAAATGGTGTAGGAAGACCTCTATTTTCTGGCCTGGCTCTCCGAGCTTTAGGAGGGCAGAATGTCTGTCTTGTATATCGCTATGTTCCTAGCATTCAACACAGTTCCTGGCACAGCATACGTACTTAAAAAATATTTGTTGACTGATTAGGTAAAAGAATGGATGAATGAATAAATGAGGGAATGAAAGGCAAATAGTATCTGTGTGTTTTACGACTCCTCTATCCCTTGTAGTGGTTCTGGGCTTGCTGAACATTTGGAGAATGATAAGTACAACTCAGTCAACATAGGTTTCTTTAAAAATCATGAGGACAAACCACACAGACCAGGTAGAGGAAGACAGGCAGATCTTAAGTAACTATTTGAAATCTAACCAAGTCTACCATTGCTTGTACCACCAGCATCCCTAAGAACTGTTATCTGACTCATGGAAAGGGCGTTAGGACCTGATAAGTTGTGGTTGTCTCATTTCTTGAAACTGGCAAGTAACAGTTTTAAATACTGTTGTGGTTTTATGTAGAATCAACAAAATACTATCTTCCTTAGGAGAAAGTATACCTGTCACAAAGACACCACTGCCCGGAACGGAGAACACCATGCCTTGGAAATGCCACAGCTTGGAGGACTATCGGAAACACGTGCTCTTCTGTGGGACAGAAGTTATCCAGGTCAAGCCCTCTGGGCAGGGACCCATAAGAGCAGTCGTTTTGCAGACAGGTTAGTGGATTCCACTCTTGTCACTGTAGTCTATACCTGGAGGTGAGCAGAATGAGAACAGGGAAGGTTTGTTTAGGATTTTGGAGTTTACCACATTCTAGTAATAACAGCCACGCTCTTTTCTATCAAGATCCCCTTTTCTAAATCGCCACAATTCTGTCTTATTTTTTTGTTAAACCCCTTGTGTGTGACGAAAGATACACACAGTTAATGCATATTTCCTTCAAGGCCAAACTATATTCTTGCATTGACTTATGTCCATAGGCTTCTTCTCTTTTCCATCCATATTATGAGCACTTGCCAAATGTGTCAACCGTAATGACTGTCAAGTCTTTTTTTCCTTTAAAGGGGTTGCTTGTGAGGCTGTACATCAGACTCCCTGCTGACTACCTCCACCTGCACACTCTACAGACTCTTCAAAATCAAGCATCAAAACGTGAACTTATCCTCCTGCACTGCCTCTCTGTTAACAGCCTCTCCATCAAGCTAGTCTCTTAATGGCATCTTTAACTCCTTACTTTCCTTCATTCCAAAAGGGCACCAGTGATTCCACTATGGCCTCAGAGGGCTGTCCCTCTTTCCTGAGTCCTATACCTGCCTCTTCATTCCCATAGTCACTGTTTAGTGCAGGCTTTCATCACACCATGTTTACTTTATTATAAGAAAAATAGTCTGGACTCTTCACTTTCAACTTTTGCCCCAATCTTTCTCTGATCTTGAACTCAAATCACACTTCAAACAAAATATTCTAGAATAGCCCAGGCATATCACACCTAAAGTTTTGCATGCCTAGCCACATGAGCTTCAAACTTTCACATGCCATTCACAACCAATGCCTTTCACGACCTGGTCCCAACTCTTGGTCCTTAACCCTGACCTGTGTTTCTGTCACCTCACATATTCATGCACACAAAGCATGCTTTGCACTTTGATGCCAATATGCTTTAGTTTGATGTTTTATTCAATTGTTTTGGATGAATTAGGCGTTTTTTTTTTTTTTAGTTAAAATATGACTTTGAGTTTTCTACTAAAACTAGCTAGTGGGTTTTAGAGCATCCTCAGCCTGCTATCTAAACAAAAAAAAAAATGGTTAAAGACCATGGAAACCAACATAAACTACTGTAAAATTCTTCAAAGCAAGTTAGAGAAAAGTCTACTCCCATTCTCCAAAGGTAACAAAGCCATGTTTAAGGAGACCAGATGTCCATATAGCAGTGGAGATAAAGCAAATTTTGTACTTAAAATACTGGTGTTCCTGTCTAGACTATATAATAGTTAATCATTTTAGCCACTAATTCAGATATTAATAGGTATTTGCCATGTGCTATGCACTGAGGGCTAAAGAAATAATTTGTGAGCTACATCTTTCCCAGAAGGAAGTCATGATACTCTGTTGTAGGAGACAGATTAACTTATAGTTAACTAAAACATGCAGTGATGATGGGTGTCATATGACCAAGTGTTGCAGGGCCCCCAAAGAATGAGATATATTATTCTTTGTATGAAGTATGAGAATAGAATTCTAGAAACACTTCTATGATGAGGTGGCATTTTAACATAGCTGATAGGATGGGGAGGGTTTAGTCAACCACATCAGAGCTATTAAAATAGTCTGATTTGTGTTTACAAAATACAAGAAAATATACAAGGCATCTTTTAAAATCAGTAAATAGTTGGGATCAGCCCAGCAAGATAGGAGTAAATCAAATTGAAGGTGACCTCAAATCCATGCCTAGAAAATTTAATTTTGTTCTAAGAAAGTGGTAATATTTGGAGCAAAAGAATGATATGATTAAAGGTAGATGCATATGCATATATATATTAGGATGTTACTTGCACTTTCCTTTTTTCTTAATTCTCAATTTTTTGAATATCTGTTTTCAACACATGTCTGCTTTAAAGTGTCTTTCTGCAGCATCTCATTTTCTCTAGTTAACACATTCTTCAGTTCCTTAGTCTGGTTTTTCTCAGCCCTCATGCGGAATGGGGAGCTGCACTGCAGGAGCCATGGAAACACTGATTCCCAGAACAATAGAAATGGAGCAGGCCTAAGTGAAGGCCACTGACTGCTCTGCTGACTCGTAACAAGGAAAGCAAATACAGTGTGAGGTCAGAGCAATGCTGCTCTCATTCCAAGCTCCAATGACTCTTCCACTTTGGGTTTCGAAAGTCTATTCAAGGGCCTTACTCCACCTGTGATTGTCTCCATGTAGGTTACAATACAGCAAAAGGGGATTTGGTGAGATCCATCCTCTACCCCCGGCCTCTGAACTTCAAACTCTACAGCGATGCCTTCAAGTTCCTTGTGTTCCTGGCCTGTCTTGGGGTTGTAGGATTTTTCTATGCCCTAGGAATATATATGTACCATGAAGTAAGTACTAGGGGGGGTAAGGTTTTTCAGTAGCTTAGCTTTTTGAACAGCTCGGCCTAACATAAGAAATTTAGGTTAGTTTGCTTCTTGGTTCTATCATTCTGTAAATCGGCTCTGTATTTACACTGTTTAATATGAGAACACAGAGCCACCTGTACTTATGGAGCACTTAAAATATAGCTAATATAAATGAGGAAATGAAATTTCAATTTATTTCATTGTAATTAATTTAAGTTAAATAGCTATATATGGTTAGTGGCCATCTAATCATATTGGATAGTGCAGTTATGAAAAGTTGCCAAGGGGTCCCTCCCAGTGTGACATGTGTAACACCCAAGCCCAAAGAGCCTTAAAGGAAATACATGCTTCTCAAATCTGATAAAATGAGAGAGATTTTGTCAATCAGATCAGAGAGCAGGAAGGGCACACTAATTTGAGTGAGGAAAACAAAAAGAAAGGATGTACAAGGGTCTTCTAGAACCAGCCATCAGATAAGAGAGAAATCTAGCAAGGTAGTAGATTTAATTGAAAAGGGATTTAGACTTTTTCCTGACATATTTGAAAGTATCCCCAGTAATCCCCAACACTTATGTGTTTTGCTTGGGTTCTTAAATTAAGCATTTAATTTTATAGCACTGATAACTCCTGGGATCCCTTCAAGCTGCAGAGTATCAGATTTCATTTGGATGCCTCTCTTCTTAGGTGTGGTCAGGAGGGCAGGTTGTCACTTATGACCCTGAGGTCCTTTCTGGTCCTCAGAGTCTGGTTCTGTTGTGTACCAAACAGTCTTTACATAGACATGCTGGGTGGGATCATAAGCATATAGGTGGGTAGAAAGAAGATGTAAATAAGGCATCCAAACACAGGTGCGAAACTCAGCTTGAATGACCTCATTACGGTATCCAAAGTGGTGTCATCAGTGAATTCTACATGTTTGTGGAGTGGAGTCGGGGCCAGGGAATGAATATTGGTGGGCAAAGACACAGCTAGAGTTTCCAGGTAATGTTCATACTCAAACTTAACCTCTGAATAGTCATTTCAATTGGAAATAAGCCTCCAGGAAACATTTCTAGGACAAGGGATAGCAGGGAAGGCCACTTTACTATACTTTACTAGTAGATTGGAGCCTGAGAAGAACTAGGCGGATGGAATGTCAAGGCCACTGGGTCTAGGACGTGAGGCAGTGTGCCAGTTCCAGCTGGGAACAAGAACATTGAGCCGAAATACAAAATCAAAGCCCTGGTACAGACAAGAGAATGGAGGTTTCCTAGCAACACTCAACATCCAGTACCTCCAGAGCAGCACACTAAACCCCAGACCTTGTCTTTTTATGGGTCTGAACCTGGCTCCTGTGATAGGCTGCTCTGATTCAGGATTAAGCAAGCTGAGTTCTCAGGGTCAAAACTACCGTATATACAGCTGGGGAAAGCAGTCATTGTGAGGAGAATTAAACAATGTACCGAGCCTAACACAGTGCCTGCCCCAGTGAGAGCAAGCTCATTTTAATTCTGCTTCCCTATAGCTAATAATATATGCTCAGATCTTGGCAGAGCCCTAAAGGAGACCCTTACTAATTCACCACTCCTTCACCATTCTCGACTGGGCCCTTCGTTTGTATCAGATCCTGTGCTGGGCCAACAATCAAGCTGCTGCATGAAATGTAACCAGAGACTAGTCCTGGTGTCCTGGGAGCCCAAGGGGCCATGGAGATCTGATGAGCAGAGAAGGTGGGCGCCTGGGTGCAGGGGATGTTAGGAGAAAACCAAGACTTGGAATAAGGATTGAAGTTCTCCTTTGTTCTGTAGTGAAAGATAATGTGTCCATTTTTTTAGGGACAGCAAAAAGAATACTCAGCCCCCAGAGAACTGACTCTAGGAAGGTTCTGAGCCAAAGTCTCCAGGGCCCCCATGCTGTTGTAGGAGGCAGTTGTTAAGAAGGTGCTGTCCTGCCGTGCTGGGCTAACTGTGTGGATGTCTTCCCCAGATCCCCCCAAGAGACACCGCCACCATGGCCCTGATCCTCCTCACGGTGACTGTCCCTCCCGTGCTGCCCGCTGCCCTGACCATAGGCATCGTGTATGCCCAGAAGAGACTGAAGAAAAAGAAAATCTTCTGTATCTCTCCACAGAGAATCAACATGTGTGGGCAAATAAACCTCGTGTGCTTTGACAAAGTAAGACCCAAACTTCCCAGGTTGAGGGTTGATGGTTTTGAGGATAGCAGACCTGCAGAGTGGTCGGGGAAATGGTCTTCTAGGGAGAACACTGAGGCCAGAGGAGACCACAGCGGTGGGCTAGAATGAGATCACCTTCTGGCCGCTACTCCAGTGACTCTAAAGGTTGCAGTTTAGTCATCACATCATGAAATTTTTCCCTGTGAAACTTAATGGTTTTTTGGTGCCGTGTGTGTGTGTGTGTGTGTGTGTGTGTGTGTGTGTGTGTGTGTTTTAATCTTTTACTCTGATAACTTCCCTGATGGACTTTTTCAGGCAAAACTGTGAGAAACATTTCTGTTTCTTGATGTGCTTTATCTATAGCTCAAGTAACAATTCCCTCTTTGTCCTCTGCTTTTTGTAAGGAAAGAGAGGGCATGGACGGTGGCCTGTGTCTAGATATTCCTGCCATTCTTCTCTCCTGTGCTCCTTAGGGATCAGGGCTCCAGGCTAGGGCAGGTGGTCTCTGTGCTTAGGGGCCTGGAAAGGTGGCAGAGGGGGAGTATGTGCCAGATGGGAACACTGCTACTCAGGGGCACGTCCCTAGACCTTCTTTTCTTTGGAGACTTGAGGAACTTCAGCACCAGCTGCTCACTGGTTCAGATCCTGCCCTCAGTATTGCCAGGAAACTTGGCTTGTGTAGTACAGTGGGCCTGGGTTTGTCCATCCCTGTCTTTAGTTCATTTGCATTCAGATAATTGATCAAGGCTTTGGCCATCCTTCATTAAACCACCAATGCTGTCCACGGTGCTGGTTGAGAGTTCTATTAAAGAGAGATAGACCTAGGTCTTGAGAAGCTCAGGGAGTGCAGACAATGATTATGTTGTGTGATGTGTGCTTGGTGAAGGTCTGAGCAAAGTGTCGCGCATGATGAAGTAGATCCAGAGTCAGAAGCAAGTTGTTAAGAGCACAAGGGTGTGGGAGGCAGGAACATTCCAGAACAGAGGACAGCAGGCTGTCTGGAGAGAACAGCACTGGGGGCTGACATGGCAAGCTGAGGGTCGGGGCCTCATCTGGAAGGAGAATGGGAGTCCTTATCATTTTTTTTTTTTTAGAAGATGAGTGACATTTCTATAGGTACTTTATTTATTCCATCTGAAGGAATTGGTGAGAAGAGATGGAAGAAGAGAGATAGGACAGAGGAGGAGGCCACCTGTGAACAATTGAAGAAAGAGATCATTCCTACCTAGTTCTAGACAATGAGAGTCAAAACAGAGAGTTGAGAATAAACTGGAAAAGCCCCAGGAGACCTGACCCGCCTATTGCTTTAGATTATTTTAGTTCCCTATCTCTTTGTGTTTCATTTGACAAAGGAAGTCCTCAATTGCCATCAGTCAGAATCCTTAGGGTTAATTTAGCAGCAGCTTCATTTGGGATTTGGGGCCAGATAACAACTCCTTGGAAGTTTTCTAACAGAGATTCCCATTACTTACCCACCAGCCTCACTAGTGTCTAGAATACAGGAGGACCAGTGGGTAAAATGTGTGCATTATATATTCATTCATTTCAATGGCCATTTTTTCCCAAAGCTGTTCATTTTACTTCCTGTATAAAACTCCTTCCTTTTCATCCTCCTGTCATCTGCTAGTCTGTCTGGGGGACTGCTCCCAGGCTTACTTGGCCAAATTCCATATGGCATGACAGCATGCTGTAGTGCAAAGACCTCCCAAGTGGGAATTGGCAAAATGAGAAATATAATCCTGGATGGGATACCAAGTTTCTGCATGGCCTTTTTTTAGATAGAAGGATTGAACTAGAATTGTTGCCAAGATACTTTTTTTTCCAAATTTTACATTATAAAATCCTATCAACGTGATGTTGAAATAAACACGCTTTACAATGAATTGAATTTTCAACCAGTGTTATTTCAACTTAGAAGATACCTATCACTGGGCCTCTGTGTATATATGCCCCCATATATATTTCTATTTTTATTGGTTTGTTAGAAGTTCTCTAAGACAAGTTTCTTTTCTTTTTGTCCAATTTATCCCAAGCCTGGGCCTATATTAATGCTAACAGTGCTTTTGCTTTGTTTTTTGTTTGTTTGTTTTTCCTATCTTATTCCTTTTAGAAATTCAAATATAATTGAGCTTTCTGTTTATTATTAGCTTATTGTAAAAGGGTCATTTTCATATAGAGAAGCAGCACAGTCTCATTTCAGTCTTGCTTCAGCACTATCTCCGTTTTCATGTTCAAAATATTAATGTTTAAAACCATAATCTAGTCATCAGGAAAACATTTCGGTTTGAATTAACTTGCTAACTCTTTGAAATCGAACAACCCAAGGGGATTTGGAAAACAAACACACAGGTTGGGCCTTTGTAAAATGCAGGAGGGAAATGAAGCAAGTAACTGGTCTTGAAAAGTTTGTTTTTGTTTCAAGGAATAACTCAATCAAGTTAGCTCTTTTGTGGAATCCAAATGAACGAGTGAAATAAAGATTCCTAATTCTTTCATTTGAAACCTCAGAAAGGGCTTTGTCTTTCCCCATGTCCCGTAGAATTTGCTTTACATTTCTAGTGGTGGAAGACTCCAGAAGGGCTGCTTCTGGTTCTGCCACTCCAACGTACAGGACACTGTTCCCTCAGGCTGTTCATTTCACCTTTAATCTATCTCTGCCCTTCTGCTCAGTTTAAGAATGAAAATCATCATAAGCCCTTTCAGTAAACCATTATGTTAATGTGATGTGCTTGAATGATAATAGATATCATTTTGATAGGAAACTACAAAATTCAGTGTCTTATGCAGAGATGACATTAAGAACCTCAAATAGAGGCCCAGAACTCAGTGCTGAAATAGGATATTCTGCAGTGCTTGGAAATGCTTTGCTCTGCTTTGGAAGGGCCAAAGCAGCTATGGGGGGCTGCACTCTGTCTGAGTGTTAAGCAGGACTGATGCTGTTAGCCGACTGCAGCAAGACACCAGGGTCTGCAATTAATGAATGACTGGGAAACAACAAAAAAATTAAGTACTGTGACAGAACTCGGTTCCATTTTGCTTTCTCTGTTACATTATATGACAAACACTTTCCTATAGTACTGCAAATCATATCTCCTGAGCTTTTTCCTCTTGTTCTCACAATAAAACCCATTCATGGACATTAATTAATATCTATTATTAGCACTTAGTTTCTCTCCGTAGTTTCAAAGCCCTTTACCAACATTTCATTATCAATCTGGACAGTCACTGTCACCCATATTTTTAGAAAATTACTGTGAACCAGATGGCAAATTGTGAACTAAACAGTCTTGGAAAGAAAGAAAAAAGAAATCTTGAGCTCTGCTTTGGAAAGACAGCAGATGCCAACTGAAGAGTCAAACTCACACTGGTTCTTGTTGGATTTTCACTTACTGAGCTTCTCCAATAACAACAGCAATAGACACAACAACAAACAAAACCAAAACAAAGCACTTGTATTTTATCATCATAGTAACTTGAATCACCTGATTATCAACATAGTCTTAAGGATTCATATGTCATCATATTTAAAATTTGACACTTACAAAGGAATTGGACAATTGAATCTGTGAAAATTTCTTGGAAGCTCCAGTTTCATTTAAATCACATCATAATTAAATGCTTTAAATCTTACACTAATACTAATTTTAATTTTTTTTTTTCAGACAGGCACTCTTACGGAAGATGGGCTGGACCTCTGGGGGACTGTTCCAACTGCCAACAACTGGTAGGTCTCTTAAAAGAAGATGAAATGTGATGGTGTGCTTGCCTTGGTGGTACTCAAATCCATCCTTCCAGTATTGAAGGATGAGAATCACATCAAATATATATAGTAATGGGCTGGAATCAGCTCCCAATTTTTCTGACTTGTTTAATTGAGTGAGTCCTAAATTCTGATCCAGACCGGGAAAGTAGGTCTTCAAATTCTACCCCCCCAAAAATGGAATAGAATAAGGTGAATGATTGAGGAATGGAATGAACAAAACAGAAAAGCAGGGTGAAATCAAAATCAGGCTTGATTAATAGCTGCAAAGTCTTTCTGGTGCAAGTAGGTGTAGTGAAGAGGCCGAAAATAAGGCTCCTTATTTTATATGATAGAGGTCTCCTCCCTCATAGAGTTCACAATCAAGTGGGATCAAAACGTACAAAGATACTCACCCCCAATGTACAACACAGGCCCAGAAAATTGTGGCTATTAAGGCAGGAAATTAGAGTAGAGAAGAAGCAATAAAGATGAGGAAGCATGACACACAGTCTTGATTTATATAATAACATGGTGGGTGGATGTAGAAAATGTTTTGAAATTTGGTGGATCGATGAAAGCCAATAGAAAGAGATGGCACCTGAGATAAGTTCTGGAGGACCTCTGTGTGCAGCCATGGCCGGCTGCCACTCTCTGATACTTCTTCATGGAACCATCCAGGGAGACCCTCTGGACCTCAAAATTATATAAACATGAGCTAAAAGGTAGCTCTAGAGAGAGTAGAAAGTAATCACATAGACACCTACCTCAGAACTCCACAGAGAGTACCCCTAGTCTCCTAGCTCCATTCCTGTAGGGCTAAGGCTTGTTTTCTCAATCTGAGTGGTAATGACCTCTGCTCTTTGGCTCTGATTACCCAATTTTGGCTTCAAACTGTGGCCCAGGCAGCTGAGGGTCAGTGAAGTCATATAGGGGCCCTCCAAGATGGTATTGGGGCAGGTACAGTGCAGGCACAAGATAATAGCAGACAGGTGGTGTGTGTGACTTTTTAGAAGACAGCTGGGTTTTCAACTCTACTCATGTGTCTCTGCTCCTGACTGCTCAGTGTCCCAGCTGGCCTTCCTTTAGACTGACAGGGCCTCTGTCGGCCAGAACAGTGAACGTGATGGAATGTGTGCCATCTCAGTCCTTCCATCTCCCTCCCACACCCCTTGTACTCTGAAGCTTTTGAGGAAGTAGAGTCAACTAGACCCAATTGCCATTCAGCTCTGAGGTGGGAGGAGAGGAAGGGAAACCAAGCCATTCTATACTGTCAAAGAGGAAAACAGTCTTTAGAGGCAGGATGTATGGACTGGGATTTTCAGGAAAACAGCAAATTTGGAAGAGCTGGGTAGCAAGAAAAACTGCGGAGCCAAGGCATGCTTTTACTTGCCTGAAACCACCAGGTAGACTCCTTTCCTACCGTGCTACATCATGAAACTAGGACCTTCTGGCTTAGGGTATGTAGTTTTTGGAGCCAGCTCCACAGCGTTTGCAGGTATAGCTCAGAGTTGCCTGCTCACATGCTTTGCCACAGCAAGGCCATTATGTCAGATGGCTGCAAGTAATGTCACAAAAATCCCTGGAATTGTACCAAGCCCCCTGAAGTTACAGTTTAACTTGACCAGTGGCGATCTCTGTTGAAGGAAATTCATCTCCAACTCAGAGAAAGGTTGTCTAAAGATCACTCTGCAGGCAGAGCAGTCTGTTTAAAAACTGAAGAAACTAAATGAAGAAGGGATTGAAGGCAGCTTAGTCCCTGGACAAGTATAGAAATAGCAAGAAATTGCGTCTGGGCCTAGAATCCAGGACATAAAGAACATCAGTAGGAGTAGCAGCTGTGAGGAGAGGCAGAACTGGGGCCCACAGGACCCTGACTACCAGTTTAGAGAGTCTGGATTTAGTCCTGTAGAGCAGGAGGAGCCACTGAAGGTCTTTGAGTATAAGGATAGGTGCCTGAATCTCTGCCTTCGCAAACTTTCAGGAGCAGAGTATGCAAAATGATTTTATTGAAGACTTTAACTTATTATCCTCTCTACCAGTTTTCAGAAAGTCCACAGCTTTGCTTCAGGCAAGGCTTTGCCATGGGGACCTCTGTGTGCAGCCATGGCCAGCTGCCACTCTCTGATCCTTCTTGATGGGACCATCCAGGGAGACCCTCTGGACCTCAAAATGTTTGAAAGCACGGCCTGGGTAAGTTCATGGCTTATTTAATCAAATGAGGAGAATGTAAAGAGATCTGTGCTGGGAGTCCTGAAGGCTTTCCAACTGTGGTTAAAATGAATTCTGCTCTGATCCTGCCAGAATTCGCCAACCTCCACTTCAGAGAACTCCGTCAAGGAGTGTAATGTGAAATAGGGCTCCATAACAAATAAATTTGGAAACTGCTGTTTACACGAAGTTAAAAAGATTTTTCTTCAGGATTTCTTTAATATACCATGGTTGCAATGTGAATATTCAAGAGAGGACATGATATGCAACATTTAATAAACCTATTTGACCTCAAAACCTTCTTGACTGGCTATAGCCTGGTGCAAATGTTCTCCAAACACCCTGGGAGAGACAGTTCTATAAAGGTGGGCCTTTTGTGGCCATATATCACTTGACTGTGACAAGGTGACTGAAGAACTGAATTGATAATTTTAGTTTAAATTTAAACAGCAGCCAGGCGCAGTGGCACACTCCTGTAATCCTAGCTACTAGAGAGTCTGAGGCCACAGGATAGCAAGTTTGAGACCAACCTCAACAACTTAATGAGGCCCTAAGGACTTAGTGAGACCCTGTCTCAAAATAAGAAATAAAAAGGGCTAGGGACATTGCTTGGTGAGCCTCTAGGTTCAATCTCTGGTACCAAAAGATAATTTATTTTTTAAAACTAGCTTCAGTGGCTGGTAGTTACTATATCATACATATCAACCTGGAGGATCCTCATTCCAACTGATTCCAATGTCTGAGCTGAGTGCAAATGACAACTGAAAGCTGTGAGCCCATCATGGAGACTCCCATCACATAGCGGGAAGAGCTCTGCCTTCCACCCGTCTCTGTCATGTATTTGCAAATCAGAGTCAAAACTCCAAGTCTGTCTCTCATATGCTCATTTGGGATAATGATATCTCATTCACAGACCTAATGAGCACCGAGATGATGAGCTCTGGGGAGCTTTGAACACTATCAAGTGCCAAATGAGTGGAGGGTGTTCATGAATGAGCTAGCTGATTGATTACATTCTGCTGCCCTGCAAATAAAGCATTCTAAAGCCACTTAAAGAGATATATAAAGTATTAGAGAGCATTTATACTTGTAAAACATGAATGGGGCTGGGGTTGTAGCTCAGTGGTGCAGCACTTGCCTAGCATGTGTGAGGCCCTGGGTTCGATTCTCAGCACCACATATAAATAAAACAATAAAGTTTTATCAACAACTTAAAAAATGGAGACAAATGTTTGTAGGGGCATGAAACATACCTTGTGGAAGCTAATAGAAATACGTGTGGTAGAGATATTTTAGCTTCCTACAGGTCAAATGAATGAAAGGGAGAATCTGGTAGAGAGAGAAGTTTCTGAAGTCAGTTAAAAACCATTTTTTAAACTTTTAAAAAAATATTTGTTATTTTTTTTTAGTTGTAGTTGGACACAATACTTTTATTTATTGTATATGGTGCTGAGAATCGAACCCAGGGCCTTGCTAGGCGAGCACTCTACCACTAAGCCACAACCCCAGACCTAAAAAACATTTTTGCTGTGGAGAAATTTTTGGCATAAAGACAAAACAGTAACCAGTTTACTGGATCTTAATGAGAAGAACCTGTATGTTACCATACAGCAATATCCTTACCAGCGTCATTGGAACAATGATGAGTGATTACTACATACGACTTGGATCCTGGTCCAGTAATGTCTCCTTCCCCATCAGAGGAGGGTCGGTTTGCCTACAAGTGACATACAAGTCGGGATCATTTTGGAAACATAATGAGTATTATCTCTGTAAGAACTGTCAGAACAGTTGTATCCCCCCCCCAACAAAGCATAAATATGCAAGATTATTCATTGGGCTTAAGGCTGAGTCAGAAGCAGGTTTGAGTTAAATATCAAAATTGGAGTTTGTTAGTTAGGAAGCCTCCACTGAGTTTAAGGGTGAGTCCTTATAGATTCTTAAGAATTTTAGCTCTAGAAGAAATGTAAGAATATTTTTCAGAATAAATTAAAATCTGAGATATGAAGTGATATCCCCAAGATCAAACAACTAAGTGGCATAGTGGAGAAGAGATACTATCTTTATTTTTCCTCCCCTGCTCTTTCTATCTAATTACCTTTCTCATATTTTAGTATTGGTTTCTCAGTGGTATAGATTGTTACCATTGTAGCATTTAAAGAATACTAACCATTTTCAAATGTGATTTCTAATTGGCTGACAGCTAACTTGCTAACTCCCTAGTTAAATAAATTAGGTTAGTAGCACAGATATAGTATAAAGAAATAGTCTCAGGTTTATCTCAGGACATAATTCTAGCCCATCTAAAAGCTATTGTGCTCCACAATATTGAAGACTATATCTCCACTTAATCTCTCCTCCAATTACTAGACATAACCATTTAGGAAGAGTCCTTGATCTGCAGCCAGCACTTTTTCATCAATTACAACTTAAAATATATTCGCAATATTTCTGGCTTTTTGACATTCTACAAAAAGGTCTTAAATATAAATCAACACAATAGAAATTTGACAATGACAATATTAAGATAATTGTCCTAGAAGAGAAAACTATGTGAGAAGGACTTTGAAAAGATTAAAGTGTTAGTAAAATGAGAGATATTTCTTTTCTATTATTTTTCTCCAAGGCATCTTATAAATGTTTTCATTTTACAATAGAAAATGGAAGATTGTAATGTGAACGCCTACAAATTTGGCATGTCAGACTCAAACACAATAATAAAACCAGGACCAGAAGCCAGCCAGGTATGATTTGCTTCTTTAAATCCTATAGCTCTTTTCCCTTAAGACGAGTGAAACTTCCAGACTTTCACCTATTTTTATGTTCCCGGTTTTAAGCTTTATCTTAACAAACCCCATAGTTGCTTTGGTCATTCTTTAGTCGTAAATCCATCCGTTTGTTTGTTCAGCACTTGCTAGCTGACTACTGGGGAATGCCAGACCGTATGCTAGGATTCAAACTAAGACATGCTGGGCTTGTGTTGGAAGAGCCCAAAGACTGGGGAAAAAATCAATACAGGTGCAAATAAGTGTGATATGATGTGCCAACGACTCCAAGAAAAGCAGAAGAATGAGCCACGGGAGTCCAGAGACAGGAGCCATGTGCTGTTTCTGGGGGAGGGAAGCAGTCCTTGGAGCCCTGTCACTCACAGGAAGTGAGCTTAGCTGTAAGGTTATTAGGATTCTCCAGACACTCAAGGGGACAGGACTTGCAGATCAGACAACTTGTGAAGGAAGTCACCTTAGAAGGGAGCCAGGAAAGTATCCATGTTGTGAAAAATACACTATTGTATGACGTGCTAGGCTCATGGAGGAGGAAACTATTTTGTTGATGTGCATCTGGGAAATAGCTCTTGCTGTCTTTCTAAGCTCCCTTTTGTGGATGCCTCTGCAGAGTCCTGTAGAAGCCATTGCCATCTTGCGCCAGTTTCCGTTTTCATCAAGCCTGCAGAGGATGTCTGTGATTGCTCAGCTGGCCGGAGAGCATCACTTCCGGGCCTACCTGAAGGGTGCCCCAGAGATGGTGGCCAGGTTCTGCAGACCCGAAACAGGTACCGACATTTTTCTCTTTCAAGAGGTAAAATCATTTAAAAGGCTAAACACAAAAGCAAATGCCAGCCCTGAAAACACACACACACACACACACACACACACACACACACACACACACACACACAAATGCAAAAAGCTCCACAATCAATGAATGGGGAACAGGTTGGTTTTTGGATGGGTGGAAAGTGGGTTTAGAAGATTCCATAATGCAGGGTATAATTTCAAGGTATAGAGGCCAAGAATAAAGAACCTGCCGTGGTCCAGCCAGAAAAGCACAACCACAATGAGGTACCAGGGAAGGAAATGTAGGACAAGGCATCAGGAGTTAGAAGAAGAAGCCACTTGGGTCAGAGAAACAGAGAGGGAGGGTGAGAATGAGAGGTATTCAGAGGGAACCGAAGGGTGAGGTCTGGGCACTAGTCTGGTTCTGCAAACAGGTCTCTGTCACCTCTGGGAAGGAGGAGAGGTTCTAGTTTTGAGGGCTCAGACAAATCAGTGGAAGGAGAATATAGGAAAGATAAATCTTTTAGAAAAAAAAAGGGTGATTAAAGTAAATTAGAGGATATTAGAGCAAGATAACTGATCATTTTTACAACCATTTTATTATTCTGGACCAGACTTTGAGATGATTTGTATTATTTCTTAGTCTTATAAACATATGTACTTTCTAAGCAACAGTCAGGTTTATAAGAATATTGTTGCATTCAAAGGGGTTCATTGGACAAAATTGGACTTTTTTCTCCTGATTTTCATTTGTTTTCTCCTTATGATTGCTGATAGCCATCAATTTGTGCATAGAACTCTAGATTTTGCAAATCCTGGCTCTAGTTCCTCTATTTGGAGTCTTTTTTTTTGACCTTAAAAGTGACCCTTTCTTTTCTGCCTTTGATCTTCCTCATAGCTCCCGTTAACTGTCTTTCACAGATGACCGCCTATCTTTGGCTTTGTCTTGTGTTTTCAGCCACACTGAGACAGTCAGCATCTTCTGGGCATCCTGCTGGTATCTATGGCCCTTGTTCTATTGGAAGAGTTGGACCTGTCACCTGCCACTTCTTGTTCTCATGGTAGCCCTTCCAGTTCTTTCTGTTGTCCAAACTCCTGATCTTTCCCATAGGCGAACACCATCTTCTGTGACCCCCCACCCCTCTCTCTTCAAGAAAAGGATAATTAGGAACTTCTTTGAAAGTAGATCTCCACCTTCAGGAATATTCTAGAATTATTCTAGAAATTCTGAGATAAATGGGGGCATAGGAATCTGCAACCTTCTCATTTTATAGATGAGGAACTGAGGTGCAGAAGATAGGCGACTTGGCCCAGGTCAGGAAGCTAGTGGAGTAGAAACTAAAACCCAGTTGTTTTTCCACCTCAGCAACAACATCTCCATTTGTGCCTTGCTTTCCCATGACACACACACAGCTCATTATAAACCATGAAGAGTTCCTTATATTACATAGCATAGTCACATGTCCAAATACAAAAATGTTGGCATTGTGTCATCTGTCATCTGAAGCAGGGATCGGCAAACTTTTCCTCAAAGAGCCAGATGGTACATATTTTAGGACTTGCTGGTCACACAGTATCTGTGTTGACTACTCAACCCTGCCACCATAGCCCCAAAGCATACACAGACAATAAGCAAACCAGTAGGCACATCTATGTGTCAATAAAACTTTATTTACAAACCAAGCAGGGGGTCCTTGGCCTGTGTACCATAGTTCATCAACCCCTATTCTGGAAGATCAGCTCTTTCTCTTACTCCATCCAAATACACATAGTGTTGAGGTCTGTCCTTATTGAACCCAGTCAAAATGACACCAGTTTGTCTTGACCAGTTTGGGCTGGTATAACAAAACCCCATAGATTATGCATTTTAAACAGTGGAGAGCTCTCACCGTTCTGGAAACCAGAACATTCAAGATCATGATGCTGGCCAATTGGGTTCTTGGTGAGGGCTGCCATTTTGGTTTGCCGATGGCAGCCTTCTTGCTGAATCCTCATAGGGTAACAAAGAGATCATCTCTTATATGTCATCATTCTACTCATGAGGGCTCCACCTTCATTTTTGACTCAATTACCTCCCAAAGGTAAATGCACTTCCAAATGCAGTCACATTTGGGGGGAGTCTGTACATATGAATTTGGGGGCTCACAAACAATCAGTCCTTAGCACAGTCGATGACCAGCACACCTTTGACATTTATTTCCACCCAAATAAGAAGAACACACTGATAAACTTGTTTCTAACTTTTGTCTAAAGTTTGAAGCTTTCTATTAAAACAGTTTTATGACATGAAAATTAAAACAAGGTACAGCGACAGCATCCTGGAATCTCGATCAGGATCTAAACAGCCAATGTGACCTTACATTTGCCTCTTTCTTTTCTTCTGACAGTGCCCAAGAATTTCCCACAGGAGCTGAGGAATTACACAGCGCAAGGCTTCCGTGTCATTGCCCTGGCTCACAAAGTTCTGAAGACGGGGAAGCTCTCAGATGTGCAGCGTTTAGCAAGGTAAGGAGTCAGAAATCATCATGAGCACAGACTCCCTGTGCATGAGGTGAATGAGTCCTAGAAATGGATGGATGAACAGCTCACATCACCAGGAAGACTCTTGGAGATGGACAGCTGAATTCATCTGGTCCTCTGATGTGGAGATGAGCAATTGTAGGTGAGACTGGGGAAGATTTACTTAGGTCACAATGTTAGTTGGTGGGAGAGCAACAGGATTGCCATTGAGATTTCTGACTCCTAAACAGCATATGCTATTCCGGCCCTGCACCACCTTAGTCTCAGCTCTCCTCCCACCTCTGAGTGCTATGGGAACAACCTATTTGGGTGTCCCACATATAAAGAGGATGAAAGAAGGAAGGGGACAGTTGCAAATTTGAAAGGTTTCCAGAATCACTTAGATTCATTTTTTTTGTTGTTGTTTTTTCAGGGCTGAATGCTATACCTCTCTGAGATATGGGAAAGTAATGAGTACAAATTGAATTCTTTTTAAGAAATAAAATTCAATATTCTTAATTAGATTAAAGGGGAAAAATTGTCCTCATTAGATGGTAATCTATACACTATTGTTTCTACCGATATTCTTCAGCTTTCAAAGGTTGTTTTAAAATTATCTATGATAAAGAAGCAGAGCAGAGAAATACTGTGGAAAATTGAGTAGCTGATCAACTATGTATTACTTGTTTTAGAGATATTTGATTTATGATGCTGATAGAGAGATCCTTATTTATATGTAATTTGCTCCTTCATGTCAAATACTGATGTCCTGGGTTTAATATTATTACTTGCAGCCTAAGTCGATCTAAGACAATCAGTAATCATTGCCCTTTTCTTACTCTGTGCCTGTTTCCCCATCTACAAGCTCTAAGGAGCTTTTCAGCCATGACATTTTAATCTTTGAAATACAATCATAAAGTTCATTTTGAAATATATGAGTGACATCTTCTGATTTAGCATTCCAGGTGTTTGCTATTCTTGAGCAATCACAAGGACTCATAACACACGGGACTTTGTAATTTTTCAAACACAAATTTGAATAACAAACATTAAGGTTATATGTGAAGACAAGATTTACATAGCTACTTCTGGAGTGTAACCACTGCCCAGCTGCCACGTACAAATGCAGCTGTTCCTATTTAAGAGTCACTAGTGGAACAGACAATGTTAGGAATATAACAAAATATTAAAATGTGCTAGATTTCCAACCATCTCAGGTTCCCCAGGGAATCTCAGGAGCCTATGAAGTTCTGAGCATTTACTTACTATCTTCAGAAAGGGTAAAGGGATAAGTTTTTTATTTTTATTAGGATCGAATTATATTTAGCAAAGTTTTCCAATTAGGAAAATCAAAACTTCTAAAAGATTAGAGTCATAAGAGGGGAAGTGAGTTTCTTGAGATAACTTGGAAAAAATATTACCTGAAATTTAAAAGACAGAAGAAATACTTCACTGAGATTTGCCTCTTCATTGATTCAGCAAATATCTCTTGACCTTTGCTATGTGTTAGATCCTCAAGGAACTGAGGATTCATTCAGAAGTAAATAAAATGAAGTCCTTGCCTTAAGAACTTTATATACCAATTGAGGAAAATAGATAATAAAATCAATCTGTAAAATATTGTCTTGTTGGCAATTTTTAAATGTCCTGAAGGGGGAAAATGAAGCAGGTCAGGAGGGCTTTTCAGAAGACAGAGAGTGCCATTTTGCAGGGGGTGATCAGGGAGGCCCTCTGAGGAGCAGCATTTGAATAGAGATCTGAGTAAAATAGGAGGGCAAGCCGGCAGATTCCCAGAGGCCAGCATTGCAGGGAATAGGAACGGTGGGTGCAAAGATCTTGACGTAGTGGCATTGTTGGAAATGTGGAGAAGCCTGAAGCTGAGAATGAGGGCAGGAGTCGTAAAACAGAAAACACGTGTCTGTCTCTGTTTCTGTTTTGTGCTTTGTGCATTGCAGCCAAGAAATCGTTGGCCAGACCAATATCAAGAAAACGCTCCCCTATGTTTCCCTCCAGGAGCTTCAGTCTCCAGTCTTATGTTTTAGTCCTTGATCCGTTTCCAGTTGGTTTTTGTGTGTGGTGTAAGACAGAGTTCTAATTTCATTCTTTTGCATGTGGATATTAAACTAAAAATCTCCTGTACCTAAAAGGAAGCAACCCAGAGAGTGAAATCGAAAATTTGCAAACCATGTATCTGATAAGAAATTAATACCACAAATGTATAAGGAGCATAACTCAGCAACAACAAAATAAATAACCCAATTAAAAACTGATCAGAGCATCTGAGCAGACATTTATAAATAAGATTTATAAATGGCCAACAGGTACATGAAAAGGCACTGAACATCACTATCAGTGAAGTGCAGATCAAAACCTCATGGCTATTAGGATGACTGTTTAAGAAAATTAAAAACATCACAGGTGTTGGTGAGGATATGGAGAAATTGAACTGTATACACTGTTAGTGGAAACACATGTAGGTGCAGTGGTCCAACTGATATCCAAAATAGTAGGGGGTTTCCTCAAACAGTTAAAAGTAGAAGGACCATATGATCCACCAATGCCACAATCCCACTTCCAAGCATATGTCCAAAAGAATTGGAATCAGGATCTCAAAGGGATCTCTGCATTTCCATGTTCTTTGCAGCATTTGTGTGTGTGTGTGTGTGTGTGTGTGTGTGTGTGTGTGTGTGCAATAGCCACAATAGGGAAATAGCCTAAATGTCCATCGGTGGATGAATAAATAAAGAAAATGTGGTACATATATACAATGGAATATTATTCAGCCTTAAAAAGAAGGTTTCAGCCCAAAGTAACTTAGCAAGAGCCTGTCTCAAAATAAGAAACAATAACAATAATAATAAAGGGCTGGGAATGCAGCTCAGTGGTTGAGAAACCATGAGTTCATGTTCAAGGTACAAAAAAAAAAAAAAAGAAGAAGAAGAAGAAATAAACTCTCATGCCATGTCAGACAACATAGATGCACCAGGATGTATATCATGCTAACTGAAATAAACCAGTTGCAGAAAGACAAATTCTGCATAATCCCACTTATACTATGTATCTATAACAATCAAACCCTTAGAAATAAAGAGTGAAATGACGATTACGAAGGACGAGGGAGAGGGGAATGGCAGCTACTTAGTGAGTATAAACTTTTAGTTGTGCAAGATAAGTTCTAGAGATCTGCTGTACAATATGGTGCCTATAATTATCAGTGCCACCCTGTACACTTTAAAATTTTGTTAGGAGGGTGATCTTCAGTGTTCTTATCACAAAGCAAAACAAAACAAAACAAAAAATGGGAGCAGGAGGAAACATTTGGGGGTGGTGGATATGTTTATTATTTTGATTATTATGATGATTATTTTGTTGCAGAAGTGTATACATATTGCTGAAACCCATCAGATTGTGAACATTACATATGTGTGGTTTTTATAGGACAATTACACCTCAGTAATACTGTTAAAAATAAAATTCTTTATGAATCTAAAACCCCCCAAAATTATTAAATTGGTGAGAAGATTTTGGTATCTTCCCTTTGGTTCCAGTCAACATAAAAATATTAATACAATTTATAATAAATAAATAATAAAGTTAAATTTGACAAATTTCATGTTAGGTAGATTTTCTTTTATAGTATTTTCTGAGCTCACTAAAACAGACTTGATATTTTTGAGTGTGCCAAAGTGCCTCCTAAGAGATTTGAAACAAAGTAGTTATTTAGTAGGTGGATTTTTCTTTAATGAATGATGGAGAAGTCTTTACAATTCCAGAGAGAAATTTTTTCCCTGTGTTTGAATGATTACTTCAGATAAAGTTTGAATGATTACTGCAGATGAGCTAGATCAACACACTTCTGCAGATTCCAAGTGGGTGGGAAGTGCTAGTTGAATTGACAGGGTAGAAGTAGGATACAGGGACACCAGAGTCAGAGAGAGATGGCAAGAGCCTAGCTGGCTCATCATGTAGAGCCCCGGAAAGGCTGAGAGTCCGCTACACCATGCACTGAGAAAATGGTGCTCAGACCCAAGGTGGAATGTGGATCCTTAGGGCTCCCTTTCCCCTCCCCTCCTCTCTTCCTGCCTGCTTACCCTTACTCTGCCCAGAAAAACAGAACAATGAAGGGTCAAAAAAGAGTCCTTGGAGCCCGAACCCACAGTATATAGATCGTAGCCAACTTTTTCTTCTATCAGATGCCCCAAGAGTTAATAACAAGAATCAACAAATGGGACCTACTTAAACTAAAGAGTTTTTTCTCAGCAAGAGAAACAATAAGAGAGGTAAATAGAGAGCCTACATCCTGGGAACAATTTTTTATCCCTCACACTTCAGATAGATAGAGCCCTAATATCCAGAATATACAAAGAACTCAAAAATTAAACAATAAGATAACAAATAACCCAATCAACAAATGGGCCAAGGACTTGAACAGACATTTCACAGAGGAGGACATACAGTCAATCAACAAGTACATGAAAAAATGCTCACCATCTCTAGCAGTCAGAGAAATGCAAATCAAAACCACCCTAAGATACCATCTCACTCCAGTAAGATTGGCAGCCATTATGAAGTCAAACAACAAGTGCTGGCGAGGATGTGGGGAAAAGGGTACACTTGTACACTGCTGGTGGGTCTGCAAATTGGTGAGGCCAATTTGGAAAGCAGTATGGAGATTCCTGGGAAAGCTGGGAATGGAACCACCATTTGACCCAGCTATCTCCCTTCTCGGACTATTCCCTGAGGATCTTAAAAGATCACACTATAGGTATACTGCCACATCAATGATCATAGTGGCACAATTCACAGTAGCTAGACTATGGAACCAACCTAGATGCCCTACAATAGATGAATGGATAAAAAAAAATGTGGCATCTATACACAATGGAGTATTTTGCAGCACTAAAAAATGACAAAATCATACAATTTGCAGAGAAATGGATGGCATTAGAGCAGATTATGCTAGCCAATCCTTAAAAAACAAATGCCAAATGTCTTCTTTGATATAAAGAGAGCAACTAAGAACAGAACAGGGAGGAAGAGCATGAGGAAAAGACTAACATTAAACAGAGACGAGTGGGGGGAGAGAAAGGGAGAGAGAAGGGAAAGCATATGGAAATGGTAGGAGACCCTCAATGTTACACAAAATTACATATAAGGGGTTGTGAGGGGAAAGGGGGGGAAACAAGGGAGAGAATTGAACAAGAGCAGAGGAGGAAGAGAGGAAAGATGGAAGGGGAGGGGAGGGGGGGATAGTAGGGGATAGGAAAAGTAGCAGAATACAACAGTCACTAATATGCCATTATGTTAAAATGTGAGTGTGTAACTGATGTGATTCTGCAATTTGTATTTGGGGTAAAAATGGGAGTTCATAACGCAAATGAGTCAAATGTATGAAAGATGATATGTCATGAGCTTTGTAATGTTTTGAACAACCAATAAAAAAAAAAGAAAGAGTCCTTGGCCCCAAATTTACATTTTAAGAATCCTGTTCAATTCAGAGGTGAGATCCTACATAACTTGTAACCCACTTAGACACAAGTCTTCAGTCTCAAATTCTCAAAACTCCAAACCCTGGCCGAAGCCCTTTCATTACTGGTGGTAACAGATGCAGGTAAAAAGAATGACCTCATGTTCCACAGTTACTATGGAACCTTGTATGTAGGATGCACTGAATAAATGTTGAATAAATTAAAATTTTGATTACAAGCTAAAAAGAAAAGAGAAAGATGCAAATTGAAAAATTTATCCCTTTAACCCAATCTTTAAAAACGAACAGAAGGGTTGGAAGTTAAGAATATTGTTTAAAAAATAAAAACTGGAGTTGAAAACCAGAAGTAACTAAAAGATTTATAAGTAGTTGCCTCTGGAAATGGGAAAAGAGTTGAGGTTGTAGGGGCAGGAACTGTTGGTTTTCCTTGTAAACGCTTGGGTTCTTTTTTATTTTTTTGTAATGTATGCATGTCTTACATTAATAAAACATAGACATTTTAAAGAAAATGAACAAAATTCAACGGTTGAATCTACATGGCTACACTTTAATATTGATTTTTTTTTTCCTCTGAATTCAAAGGGAGAAAGTGGAGTCCGAGTTAACATTTCTGGGACTTCTCATCATGGAGAATCGCTTGAAAAAGGAAACCAAACCAGTCTTGAAGGAGCTGAGTGAGGCCCGCATCAGGACCGTGATGATCACAGGTGTGTCGGTTTCTGAAGGCCTGACAAGGTGACTGTATCCTGGGCATAAGAAAAAGAGGTGTGGGCTGAGTGAGTTCATGGAACAAATATGTCCTGTGGCTGAGGCTTCTACCCTGTGGTCCAGTTACCTGTGTAGCTCCCCAGCAGGACCAGGAGTTTGGGAGGCAGAGACCATATCTCATGCTCTCTGTCTAAAACCCATTCCCTCTACCCAGGATCTGCACAGTGCTCAGAGACTCACAGCAAATGTTTAACATGAGAACAGATATGCTGTCATCAAGAATCCCAGTGAAACCTCTGTGTAAAGGACATGAGCTCTGGTTGACAGAGCCCAGGGCAGAAGGGCCAGGCTTGGAGAATGTCTCAGTCATGGCCTAGTCCTGGGATTTCTATGGCTATGTGGAATCCAGATCCTGAGAATCGCTTTGTACTATCACACGAATCACATTATGTTCACAACTACACGCTATGTGTCACCTGAGGGCTAGTCAGTCAGAAGGTGCTTAAACACTTTTGGACACAATGCCAAGCAGCTGAAAGGAGATGTGAACCCAGTACTTGCCCACTCGGGGCAGACAGTTTTGGGCAGAGAGGAAGATGATTCACAAAGCAATAAATGCCCCCAAAAGTAAAGTGAAGGAGTAAGAATTCAATTCTGGTTGCTGATATAGGAGGTTTGAACTTAAAACAAGCAATGTTTCTTTGCCTTTTAGGTGATAATCTTCAAACAGCCATTACTGTTGCAAAGAATTCTGAAATGATTCCTCCAAGCAGCCGGGTGATCATTATTGAAGCCAGTGAACCAGAAGAGCATATTCCTGCTTCCTTGACCTGGCAACTCATGGAGAACCAAGAGATGGGAACTGGGAAGAAAGTGAGTGAACGTGAGAAGCCCCTTCCCTGGGCCTGGGCTGGTGGAGGACGGCCTGACACCCCACAGCCTCGTCAACTCCAGAAGTCATCTCAGTAATGGTCCCTCACATTGACCAGACTGTGACAGTTGGCGAAGCTTTTCCAGCAGTACTCCTGCATACCATAGTCACCTGCGGGAGTTTTCAATTTTCCTGATGCAGGAGACACCAATTAAATCAGAATGCCTGGGGTGGGAGCCTACACCAGTCCTCTTTCCTGGAGATTCCCATGTGCAGTCATGGCTGAGAACTACTGATTTATGCCTGTATTTACCATTTGATCCTCACCATAACTGTGTGCATTTGGGAAAACTGTGTGCTTTACAATAAGAAAACAGGCAGAGAAAAGTAAGCTTGTCAAGGCACAAACTGGTTAAATGGCATAGCAGAAACTGGAGCCAGGTCTGTTTGATTCCACAGATCCCTGCCATGTCGATTGTGCCTGTGACATGGAGTTGACAGGTGCTGGGTTTCTGTAGATGGCAAACTTCCTGTGCATTTGCACAACAGAAGAGCTCTTCCTGTGATGAGAATGAGCTTTAGCCTGCATTCGAGGGAGCACCTATGCTTTTGTGTGACTTCAAAGAGATGGCCCTCCAGGTGATGAATTATAAAAATGCTCCCTTGCTCTGGCCTTGCAGGTTGTAAGGTATAGAGTGGGCCTTTGTGTAGTACACAAACTGCATAACTATACAGAGTGACCCTGTCCCTAGGAAGAGGTGGGTTAGTTTGGCTCAATGCAATTAACTAATAAATTAACTCAATTGCTCATTTATGAGTTTAATACCTTTACCGAAGTTTAGGTCACCCGTGGGGGAAGTTACATCCCAGTCAGCACCGTTCTCCTCCCAGGCGCTCTCCAACACACTTCCTCTCCCATCCTTTCTAGTAGAAGCAGAGGGATTCCTGTCCTTGTCCCATGTGGATGGCTTCAGAGTATGTCTTTTGTTAGTTGTTTTGCAATTGGTGCTAGAAGAGGAAAGTTATCTTTACCTTGTCTCCAGGAACAAAGCTTTCCCTGACATGAATTTCTCTAATGGATAAAATGTTGTCATCTCCTCTGCTATTTGAATTCAGAGTCCTTCATAAATATGAGGCCCTCTGAGAAATGTGACATGATTTTCAGCTGTTGACATGATGAGCTCAGAGGCATCAAATGCTTCCTCCCCATTGGGGAGCAGTGGGGCTAGAACACCCCCAGAGTAAGGCTCTGACAGGTGAGAGACGGGAGGGAAGGGCTTTGGAGAAGACAAATGGGCTGGCACAATGGGACGTGGAGTGTGGAAGAGGGTGCGAGTGCCATGAAGAAAGGGGTCACCTGTTTTGGTCGGGTCAAAGAGGTCAGGTGCTGAAAGGAATGAGGGACTCAAAAGGATTCTAAATGCTTTACACTAAAATAATTGAACAAATGAACAGCAAGAGATCTTAGGACGTTAACGTTTGCCCGAGGAGGAGAGGGATGGAGCGTTCTTCCTTCTAATTACTAGCTGGTACCTTGAAAGGATTTCCACGGGAGACTGATGTCACGAGTTTTCTCTCTGGGGAAAGGGTCCAGAGCACCGTGTTGTCAAAGCACGTAGGTGCATACGCTTTGGGGAGGGGACAGTTTGCGTGTCTTCTTCCCCTGGATCAAAGTTCCATGGGCAAGTTGCACGTCCTACATTTGCTGACCCTGACAGTTCCTTCCCCAAAATATAGGAAAGCAGAGACATTCCTCCAGCACCCATGTAAAAAACGATGCCCTTTTGGTTTTAGGAAGCTCATGTTAATATTGGAAACAGTTCCGGGCCTGAAGGGGAAACAGGGAGCAGTTACCATTTTGCAATGAGTGGGAAATCATACCAAGTGATATTTCAGCATTTCAACAGCTTGCTTCCAAAAGTAAGTACTGGGAGAATGAAGTTTTTGTTTTGCTTTTCAAATTAGTAGGACAAAAGTGGGGAGCGATGATGACCGCTGAGGTCGTCACAGAGTTAAGGAATAAGCAGCCTCAGTGGGGCTGCCCTTGCAGAAGGTTCCAGGTCCTGGACACGCACACAGCCTCCTCTCCAGGGGTGGAGTTCTGGGGTCTCCCCTCACCTCTGTGGCCAATTCCTTCTCAGCTTCCATCCTTCATTCCCTCCCCACCTTGGAGAATTTCCCAAATAGGTTCAAACACAATGCCTATTGGAAACCAAGGCTCTCCTATGAAAACCACCAACTCCTGCAGGCTGAGCTGTAGTCCCCTTCCTGTGTTGATTCCTAAATTACAGTGGGAGGGAACAAAGGCCCCACAGTTTATTTTCAAAATCATTTGTTACCTTGTCCCCTATGTGTCCTATTTTAAAATAGTGCTGTACAGGGTTGTGCTGTCAAAGTGGAGGAGATAAATGGAACACATGCTTAAGGCAGCAACCATCTGTTAGCAGTTCCTTAAAAATTCTGTCATCTCACCAGTCAAGGATGGTAGAATCTCGATCCCTAAGGTGTCTAGAAAGCTCTTAGCCTGGTTCCGTCTTATAGACATAGGAAGCTCTGACTCAGAGAGGTTAAGTCCCTTGCCTAAGGTTTGCATAGCTCATTGGAACACAGCTGAGGACAGAACTTGGTTTCTCAGCTTCTGGTCTATTGCTCTTTTCTCTGCCTGTGCTGCACCTCAGAGACAGTGTGTAGTAAAAAGAGCTGCATTTCCTTAAGCATTTTTATTTCTATGCTCTGCTGCTTCTTAGTTATTATTATTAATTAGAGGTCATCTCATCTTGGAAAAATGGTCTGGAAAAAAACGTAATAGAGTTGTGATGAAGGACTCAAGTGAAAGTTCAATGTGAAAGCATTAAATCCCCTGATCCTCTTTCCTGACGTTAGCTCTAATGACATACCACCCAATGCTATACTAAATCAGTGGCCAGGAAGGATTTTTCAGGACTTCTATTTTTATAATGTTCTTCCTAATCGTATTTGCAATGGTTATTTTTTTTTTCTTTAGATTCTGGTGAATGGAACCGTTTTTGCAAGAATGTCTCCTGGGCAGAAATCAAGCCTTATTGAAGAATTTCAGAAATTAAAGTAGGTGGTACGCATGAAAGGAGAATGCATTTGTTAACTATTGCTGTATAACAAATTCCCCTAATCCTTAGCTTAGAATAACACCATTTATTATTTTACCTTTCGGTGGGTGAGGAGTTCAGGTGTGGCTTAGTTAATTATTAAGTCTCTGGTTCAGGGTCTGTTACAAGGATGTCGTCAGGTGTCTGTCAGGATTGCTGTCTTCTCAGTGCTCCATTAAAGAGAGATGTGCCATCAGCCTCTCTCTCACGTGTTGTTGGATGGATTCAGTGCCTTGTGGGCAGTTGGACTAACAGCCTTAGCTCTTCACTGGCTGTTGGAAGAAGACATTCTCAGGTCCTTGACATGTGAGCCATTCATAAGAAAGCTCATAGTGTGGTAGCTAGCCTCCATAAAGTGAGAAAGTAGGAAGAATCAGAGAGGGGGGGGGAGAGAGAATGTTGCTGATTCTCATACCTTAATCTCAGATGTGACTTCCTGTCATTTTTGCTGCCTTCTCCTCATTAGAAGCAAATCAATGGGCCCAGCCCACATTCAAGGGAATAGATTTCACAGCAGTGTGTCAGTGGGTGGCCACCACTGAGAGCCATTAAAGAGGCTGCCTACCTCCAACAACATTCATTTTGTGGCCCAATGATACACTTTAGTGTATCTTAGAGGAAGATCTTCTGCTGAGATGTGGAGAAAGGAAGCAATGAGGGGTTTGTATAGCTCAGAATGTGAAAGCATATGTGTTACCACCTGAAATCATCAGATCCTCTGGAAGATGTGTAACCTTCCAGTCCTCATGGGAAAAAGCAAAATGGCACCTGGCAGGGATTAGATATAGAGGTCAAAGTCAAAGACAGATCTTTCCTTCTCTCCCTCAAAAATACAGATGAGCTGGGGATGGTGGCTCATTTCTTGAGCTCAGAAGGCTGAGGAAGGAGGGTTGTAAGCTCAAAGCCAACCTCAGCAAGTTAGCAAGGTCCTAAGCAACTTAGTGAGATCCTGTCTACAAATAAAATATAAAAAGGGCTGGAGTGTTGCTCAATGGTAAGCGCCCCCTGGGTTCAATCTAGGTATAAAAAAGGCATGACCAAATCACATTAATACCAAGAGTTATCGGTGACGAATCCTGCTTCCTCACATGTTGAAGTTTGAACATTAGAGAAGCACTCTGAGGCAAGCATATAAAGCAGGGTTTATTTAAAAAGGGGTAACATAGACTTCTCCCAGGAGGGAGAAGGGGGCCATAGTTGGTATCCTGGTATCCCAAGAAGCAAGGTATTCTGCCCTTTTTATGTCCTAGGCTTCCATTATTCTCCTGCCCTCTCTCCCTTATCTTTCTCCTTCCTGCATACAAGACTAGGCCTAGGAAATGCTGCTTGGTGGGAAAAGGTGGGAAATAGGTGGGCTGAAGGGCAGGATGGAGCAGCCAAGGACACATTAATGAATAACCTTGTGGCTCCCTGTAGGGAGGGGCAATTCCTGGGACAGGTTACCCTGGCAACAGGTTGGAGCAGGGGCAGGTTCTTGATAAGGATGAAGGGCTCTGAAAGAATTAACATTTCAGTTCTTCAGGGGATGGTCTCTAACTTTCCGGACTCACTCAAAATTAGCCTCCTTAATCCAACCTGACTCCATTTACCGATCTATACTGACTTCCTGTCTGATTCTGGCTTCAACATTAGAGCAAAATGTTTCTTGCTGAGACCAGATCCACCCGCTACTTGCTGGGAGTGTTTGTCTTTGGCTTGTAGATTTTAAGAAGCAAAAAGGAACAGAGAGTAGTTTAAACTTTAGATAATTGCTGATGAGTTCTCAGTGAAATCAGGAAACTGCCTTTCCCCTTGAATCTGGCTGTTACATATCCATAGGGAAGTCTCTAACACTGCCTATTAACTTCCAAGTGGCTTTCAGGATGAATAACCAACCAGTGTCTAAAATAACTAGCCCATGGTCATTCCATGATGCTGGCTGAAGAAAGTAATTTTCTCTGCCTCAAATGTCTGAGAAATGTCGACTTAAATTCTCAACTCTGAAAAGCTATGCTCCCCTAAAACAAAATTCACTCAGAGAGGCACTTGCTGCTGTGGAAAGAGCTGTCCTCTCAATTCCTCTTCCTCCTCTGTGCTTCTGTCGTTGTCCATGTGCACAGGGCTGTCTGGATTCTCCTTCTGAGTTCAGGGAACACTGGAAAACGTAAGGCTGAACACACACTTTCAGCCTGAAGAAAGGAAGGCAGTTGTGGACAGTCTTGTCACACATATGCAAATGTTTATAGGGTGATTTTCTTCTAACTAGACTAAAAATAGGTCCAGCCATATGATTTGTGTACTTTTGACCATTTTGACATATTAAAAGGGTAATTTTTTATGTTCTGACAATAAGAATATTTTTGAGGGGAAGATGGCCAGCATCTCATTGGGGGGTATTTCTGCCCATAAGAATCCAAGCCACCCTAAATAATGTCAAGAATCTGTGCACATGTCTCCAGTTATATTTGTGAAACTATATACCAAATGTTTCTCATCCTAAATCTTAATATCTCAAATAATTAAGCCACACTAAATTTTAATACCTCCAATAATTAACCAATAATAAAACACAAACACTCATAAATATATTTACACAAGCAAAGCCCCTGATAGATCTAGTCCACATGGGTTCTTGAACTAGATAAAGACAAAATGCCTCCATGGTTTATTTAAGCGGGGGGCACATCAAAGGCAGGGGTTAGGTTTCAAGGACAGAGTCTTACTTCTTGATGTCTTGCAGTCAGCAGGTTGGTTGACATCTTGGCAGGTCACACCCATCTCAGGTCCTGGGTGGGATCTTAGGCAGAGCTTGAGGGGAAGTTTACCTGCCCAGGCCGATCAATCCCTGTGGGGAGTGCCCCAAGGAGTTCCTAGTAACAGACTTAACACTTCAGGAGGCTACTATGTGCAACACAGCCTACAGAGGGCTCATGAAAGAATATTATAAGGGAACTTGACTTTTCCTTTTACTGACTTTTATAGTTTTATCCGTTTGTGGAAAAATGCCACTGTATCTCATTCAGCATTGCCATTAATCAATACCTATAATGTATTATTTACTGATAATTGAGGGCAGACTGTGTCTTGTATCAGAGATTCCTTTTCCCTGGCAGCAGTTTTAATTTCTGTTCTTCTATTTATATCCTGTTTGCATATCAAACTGTCATAGATGGGAAGCATATTATCTCATTGTCACTGAGATGCATCAAGAATCTGTGCACATGTCTCCAGTTATATCTGTGAAATTCTATACCAAATGTTTCTCATCCTAACATCTGAACTCTTAAACCACACCACAGCCTGCTAGGCTGTGAGCTCTGTATTAAGTTGTGCAGGAAGTGCTACAATCATGACTGTGCACACTTAAGCTTGACTTTTAAGCCCATACTGCTATGGGACTAGAGGTTTTCTGAGCTAAACCCTACAATGGCTATCCCTTCCTTTTAAAATCAAACAGGACTTCTTCTGAAGTGTATGATTACTGTCTTTGCCAATGTTCTTGGTACTATCACAACCATTTCTGTGATTGATTGAAACAATTTAAATAATGTAATGTCCTTCCCCCTCTGGGACTATATCTCTCCAGTCATTTCCCTTCATCCTGATTCTACATGTGTTTAGGATGTGGCACGCATGTGCAGAGGCACACAAACACACCCTACCCATCCCTGCATGTGAGTTAGTTAAGATTTCCATATGATTTGAGTGCTGTATTGAGCTATTGATTTCTCACATCCTTTTCCTTGCAGTTATTATGTGGGCATGTGCGGAGATGGAGCCAACGACTGTGGAGTGAGTAGAGATGCCCTTTGCCCATGCGGGCAGTTCCTCAGTGTCCCTTTAAAGGCCCGAGGTCCCTTGGGATTGTCTCCTCATCTTTCCACAGCAGCCACCTGATCATTTTCCTGGGGATAGCCCTCTTCTACCCAAGTGTAGGTCCGAAGTAGAGAGAAGTAAAATGAGGAGTCCCTTTTACTGTTTTCTAGCAACTTCTGGAATGACAAAAATAAGGGAATGCTACCTACCCCCCCACCCATATTTCTGACCTATAAGGGACTTCACAGGAATTAGTTGGTTTAAATCTCACCTGTTTTCAATAAGGAAATGACATCTCAGGGAAGTGGAATGTTTTAGCTTGAGAGCATTTAGCTGAAAAAGTCTGAGCAAAGGAAAAGTTTGAAACTCTTAGTTTTGAGTTATGTGTAAATTATATTTATTCCTGACAAACTTCCACTCTGGGGTTAATTTTTTTTAGAGTTAGACTTATCAAAATTTCTTAATCTCTGTGAAATCTTAGACCAATGTGTTTGGTCATCACATACGATGATAGTAAAATCCAAATTAGATGTTTCTGAGATTGTTTCTCATACATGATAAAGAGATAGTCCGCATTTGATATTCTGAGTTTTAAAGATATGATTGAAACAATAGTGTACCTTGAGAATTGTGTACATAAGGAAATATTTTAGTAGCTAATTGCGGGTCAAGAAGTGCAAGAGAGGGCTGGAGGTAGAGCTCAGTGGTAGCTTTCTTAGCAGGTGCCAGGCCTTGGGTTCAACTCCAGTAGGACAAACAAACAAAGAGGAAGAAGAAGAAGAAGATTCCTTTGCATTTCCAAAGCTTACTGGGTATTTAAGATCTAGGTATTTGTTATACTTTCCTCTTAAATATTTTCTTCAAAGTTCTGTGAAAAAAAACCTATGTTTATCCTTGGAGATTCATTATGAATTTTTTAGCCTTATGTTTTATGAGCAGTACTTAGACTGCTCTTTAAAACCTAGAATGGATGTCCCTTCCTCTTAATCTTGTGATGTTTAGAACAAAACAAAGATACCAAATGTTAAAAAAGACACAGTGTGTCTCTCAAAGAGTTCATTGTGTGAGGGAAAAAAAGAATCATGTGTAAACTAACTCTAACATATGGTAGATGGCCCCCAATTATATAACAGAGACAGAAAAATCATTGAGAGATAAAAGAGGAAGAAGAAAATGTTCTTACATTTTCTTATAACTATTTGAACTTCAGTCTAGTATACACCAGTTATGGCGCCAGGTACTTTGTGTTTCTATAAAACTGTATAAATGCAAAATCTCCTTGTAAGCCCATACTGCTATGGGACTAGAAGTTTTCTGGGCTATTGACCAGTTTTCTCTGTGGGCCATTTGGACACTTTACAGTCTTTATGAGAAACAAATGAGCCTTTATTTCAACAAGACTACACATTTACTACATACTAATATTACATGAGTCTGGGTAAGTGTGACCTGATCTCTGTGTCCAGTGACAATGCTGTATGTCCCATCCCAGCAGTTACATGGTTGGCTGGATCACTCAGAATAGGGAAAGGTGGAGATTTCATCTCTCCCTGCTTTTCATGAAGATGACCTGCTATGTGTAAGAACTGAAATGGTAAAGGTCTCCAACCAAAGTCTATACAAATCTGTCATCCTTTTAATACACTTTCTATGATTTTTTTTGGGGGGGGGGGGCGTACTGGGATTGAATCTCAGGTCACTTGATCCCTGAGCCACATTGCCAGCTCTTTTTATTTTTTATTTTGAGTCAGGGTCTCATTAACTTGCTGAGGCTGGCTTTGAATTTGCAATCCTCCTGCCTCAGCTTCCTACATCACTGGGATTACAGGCATGCACCAACACACCCAGCCCTGAATAGACTTTCTGAATGAGTGCTTCCATTTCTTCTGACATCTGCACCCCCACGGCTAACACATTATGTGAACATGTGTGCAGATGCATGCACACACCACCATACCACCGTTCTACCTCTGGATCACTGTTTAGGTGGTGCCTCTCATTGGTGACTATGGATCTAGGGAGGCACAACATGAACAGAGACCAGGAAATGAAGGTTATAGTGTTGTAGAGCTGGATATGGAGAATAGCTTGGCCTGAAGAGCCCCAGGTATGACATTGTTGGATCATTCCAGGCTTTGAAAATGGCTCATGCAGGCATCTCGCTGTCAGAACAGGAAGCATCAGTGGCCTCCCCCTTCACCTCGAAGATAGCCAACATTGAGTGTGTGCCTCATCTCATCAGGTAAACCACTTCTTCCTCTCCCACCCCCATTAGAACCCCAAAGGGTTCATAGGGTGTCTTTGAAGACAGACAGAATTCAACTCTAACTCAGGGACATAAATGCCAGGACAGAGGTATGGGTGAAGTGCTGTTGGAGCACCAATGATAGGACAATTAACACTGCTTGAGAATGCTGGCAAATGCCACCAAAAGAAATGACTTTTGCTGAGCTTTAAAGAATAGGTGGGTGTGTCATGTGGGTGGTTGAAAGATTAACTTGCTACTTAAAATCTGGTCCTCCTTTCCCACTCCTGTAATTCCCATGCTGGATACGTCCCAGCACATTATTCTCAAGAAAGCAGAAAGGGAATATGTCACTAGGTAGCTGGTGTATAAGAACTATGAGTAGGAGCTGAAATGGTAACGGTCTACAACCAAAGTTAGAGGCAGCTTCCCCAGACACTATTGTATGTCTCCAGAAAAAAAAAATTGATGAATATCCGAAATGCTTACATAAAAGATATTACAGTTGACTCAGAAAGGGGAAGGAGGCAAGGGTGGTTTATTTTTCCAGCATATCACCCTTACTTCACTCATTTCTGATTTTCTCTCTACTTATATTTTTTTAGTACAGAAAAAGACACTAGAGTTCATATTTTGTTCATAAATACTATTTCCTTGTTTTCTCTAGCATGAGGATGACTCTAGGCATCTTTGTGGTCTGTGGTCTGGGTGCCATTACCAACTTTTTAGATGTATATAAAAAGAGACAACTGTGACATTCTTCAGCATGTCCCTTGGTGCATCAAAATGAGCAGGTTCCTGGAGGGAAGGTGTCAGGTCCGAAGCTTCATGCTACTGGATGCACGTCAGCAAGGCAGCCTGATGTATCTCCCTAAACCCTGGGCGCCTGTATCTGTGTCCTTCCTCACCCGCTAACACCATCACCTCTGCCACCAAAGCAACTCCTCTTCCCAGCTCCTCATTTCTTGTTCCTGGGGATGATTAGTCCTTATAGTCAGTCATTGAGTTCCATAATCTTAGAGGGCTTTTAACTCTAAGCCACAAGGGAAGGTTTCAGTGACTTGAAGAATGAGGAAGTCTTATGTAAACATAATGGAGGTGAGAGAGAATCCTAGTTGGGAGAAATGGGAGAGCCACTTTTGGAAACAGGGTTGTAATTGGGAAGTATAGCAACGGGCAGAAATTCTTCTCAGATAGGAGTTAACGGAGGTAACTGGAGAGCCAGAGCTGGTGGATCTGTGCAGGGAGTTTGACCTCCTGGATAGCTGTTCAAAGTGCCTACCGGATCCATCCCAAATGGAGAATTTCTGATGTTCTTCCTCCCACGTGTGGCCTAGTGCATTTATGAATGCAACACACTGTGTTGAAATAGGAGTCATGATATAAAATTTCTATAGTGGCAGATGGCTTAGTAAGACTTCAGGGTAGAAACTCTTTTCTTTTGCATTTCATAGATCATAAAAATTAGGTATGGCTCAGCTCTGTTGGGCTCATTTTGCCCTTTGCTATCCTAGATGCTTGCTTATGCCTGAAAAAGCACTCCAGGAGGGCAATGAGGTACGATTTTAGATGCATAGGTTCAGACCCACAGGCTTTCATATTGTGATCCTTTGAAGCATAATTCACTGATGGTTACAGTTCAAGTCAAGGGCAAGGACTGCGTCTTATTCATTTCTCTATCAAGTATCATGCCTAGTCCTAAGCTTAGTACATCAGAACATTCAATGGATGTTTCTGGAATGTGTGAACTACACAGAATTCATAATCATTAAGAATAGTTGTAATTTTGGAGGCTACCCTTTAGCCTTTACTCAGAATGGTTTTAGTATTTTCTTTTGAATCTGGGTGCCCTCATTTTTCTGGAATTATATTCAACTGTAGAAAAAAGATGAAATCACAGTATTTACGTCAGACTTGGGGAAAGCATCCAGGCTTCACATGCTTGCCTCTTCTCAGCTTGTCTTCTGCTCCATCATCTGTGTTGAAAACAAATGGTGGCAACTCACAGGCTGTTGGAAAACATCTGCCCAAAGCAACCTGGCCCATCTCCCACCCCAACTCTCTTGCTAGAGGCACAGTGACTAGTAGTTTGGCCTATATTTTCCTTTTCATGTCCTGGTTTTGTTACAAAGTCTTTAAGCAGAGCAGGTGTCCAGTCACTGGGCCTAGAAACAAAGTAGATGTGGGTCTCTCTCCTGCAGATTTGTTTCTGTTCTGACAAGAGGAGGGTGCAGGACTGTCGTGTGCTATTGCCTCCTGTTGTCTTCTGTCCCATCATAATCCATCATCCAGCAAAACTCTACTAAAGGAAAAACAGCTCAAGTGGAAACTTTTTTTTTTTTTACAAGAGGAAGTATCTACTTTCTAAGTTGCAATTTTAGCTGTAGTCTCAGTCTCTTGATCTCCAGGCCAGTTCAGATTATTACCCTAGCTTCTCCCTGGAACACTGAAGCCAGCAAAACTGATTTCATCTCAAAAATCAGAACCACACCCACACTTCCTACAATGTAAGAGCACTCATCCTTTAGCCTTATGTGTCTAAGGGCTTCTAGAACACTCACACAACCATTCCCAGGAAGCATGTGCTATTAAGATATAAAGAGTCACAATTAAGGGAGTATGTGAAATGCTATACCTAATCCTAATGTCTGCACTGTGTGTTTTCTCTATGGGTGCATTATAATTAGACATGATAATGGATTCATTATGTCATATTCACACATGCCCATAATGTAATTTGATCAATCTTGTGTTGTGTTTTTAATGTACACGATAGCCTTCTTACTCCAAGGAAAGATAGAACTGTGCCTGGTTCATTTTACATCCTCCATGATTCTCAGTAAATGCTTGTACCTCATAAGGCCTAAATAAATGTGAGTCAAGAATCCACTAGGGTAATGACTAGAGGAAAAAATGAGTGAATGAATGAATGAATGACTAAATATATGAGAGGATGAATCAGTGATTAAGTGAATATATATCAACAGGCTGTTAAAAATCAGACTCTTTTTGAAATGTAAGAAAGACGAGTAGATGTGCCTCATACCTAATCGGCTATTTTTATTTATTTATTCTAAACAGAGAAGGCCGAGCTGCTCTGGTTTCATCCTTTGGAGTATTTAAATACTTGATCATGTATGGCATAATCCAGTTTATTGGAACATTGCTGCTCTATTGGGTATGAACGAAAATCATTTCTTCCCAGTTCTAATGCATTTATATATCTGCATTTCTGGTTTTATTCTCTGAGGTGTAGCTCCTACACAGAATTCAATGTTTTATACATAAATGACATCTTTTGAAGTACGTGCCTACAAACTTGGAGACCTGGTATAATGATGCATGAAATGTGGGCTAGAAATAAGTAGCTGTGGATCAGTTTTCTAGGGTGTTGTGTTTCTCCATATAACCTGAGACTTTTGACCTCTCCAAGCCCCTGTTTCTTTCTTTGGAGCATGAAGAGAGCTTCAGAGCAGCCTAAATATAACTCGGCAGGAAATGGATCAGTCTCCAACTGTGGAATATTTTTGGCAAGATTGAGAAGAGATAAAAAGGAGAGAAGTTGTTGAATCAGATTTTGAAAGGCTAGAATGCTAAAAATTTCCCACACTGGAGTTTTAGTCCTACATCTACCCAGAACTTGCACAGTTAGACCTTAGCAACTCTTTAAAAGATGAAAAAAAAAAAAACCTCTTAAAATTTAATGGTAATAACCATTAAGATTAATTAATTCTAAGGAAGAACCACGTATAGGTTGAAAGTGATCTTCATTAGTCCAATGATAGTTTGCCCGACAGTTAAAGGATTATAACAGTCTCAAAGCACGCTTTGGGAAAAGAGATATTTTATTGCTTTCCTGGGAGATTTAAGAGGTGGATCAGAAGACCACAAGCTATGTGGCATCTTGTGGGCTGTGTCACATGTGGAGGGCCAAAAGGCAGCCAGGCTGAGAGAACAATCAGACCGGAAGCCAGGAATCCTGGGTTCACATTTTGAATCCTGGGTTCAAAACACAGATTGGGACCAGGCATGGTGGTGCGCGCCTGTAATCTCAGCAGTTTTGGAGGCTGAGGCAGGAGAATCATGAGTTCAAAGCCAGCCTCAGCAAAAGCAAGGCACTAAGCAACTCAGGGAGACCCTGTCTCTAAATAAAGTACAAAAAGGGTTGGGGATGTGGCTTAGTGGTCGAGTGCCCCTGAGTTCAATCCCTGGTCCCAAATAACAAACAAACAAAAACAACACAGATTAGGTCTTAATCCTTGGCAAATAGCTGCTTCTGAGCTGTTGTACTGGCTGATTTTCAAAGCCCTCCATAGAACTGCTTTTACAGTGAAAACTAAAGCTTCTATTAAAAACTTTGCCCTGCTTCATCTTTTTTTACCACTCAGGGGTGGGAAAGGGAAAGAAGAGAAAGACTATAAGAAAAAAGCTAAAGAAGACAGAAAGAACTAGAGTTTGGGGATAGGGTGAGACACTGAGGAACCAACTACCCCTTTTCCAAAAGGTGAAAGCAGAACTTGTCTCTACGGATGGAGTAGCGACCACAGTTCATACAGAAGTCATTCACTCTGCTTATCTGGACCCAAGTAAGAGAGTCCTCCAAGGACCTTGACCCAGAAACCTTTGAGCCTTTGGTTCACTCTCTAAAAGGCCTGTCATATTTTTCATGTGCATAATTCTGGTCTGTAACGTGAGTAGGCTTTGATGTTGAAGTTTAGTGTTCTCAAGGAGGGGGTTTCAGGCTTTAAAATCTTCTCCTGAGAATCCCATTGCTGAGAGGGCAGATGCCAGAATTAATGTGACCAATAGGAGTGTGATTCCATATGATGGACTCCCATTGCTAATGTGGAATTCAGTTAAAGGCCGGGAAAGTAATGGTCTGTCTCATTTCATCCCATGAGACGCTAATGATTTTAGGTAAATCATTTGATTCCTGAGGAGAGGAGAAAAATAACAACTGCCTCTTAAGAACTTTAGAAAGAGTGTTGGGAATGATACAGACACTCTGTAATGACAGAAACCACACTTACATTTACTTTTCCTTCTTTTTCAGCAGCTACAGATCTTTGGGAATTACCAGTATCTCATGCAGGACGTAGCCATTACTTTGATGGTCTGTTTAACAAGTAAGCTCTTTAGCAAAGTCAACTGCATTACTCATATTTATTTCTGAAATTCTAGAACTACCTACACAAGTCACAACTTCTGAGAAAGTGGCATCCTAATTACTCAGATCTTGTTGCCTATAATCTTTTCAAAGTGATGTTGGGGTGACTTGAGTCTTAAAGTACCGACTTGATAGTAAACTATTCTGATAGCAAATAGGTTTTAACTTTAAAAGTTCTGAGCTCTTTGTAGGTTTTTGTCTTAGAGAGAGAGAGAAATGAATAAGAAATCTAGAAAGGGAATTTTTTAAAAACCGAAGGATCACTTTCCATTATTCAGCTTTCTCTTCATATTGACGTGAAACTAGGGTTTTTTAGGTCCTTGACATGTGAGAACAAATGCTAGCGTTTTATTCTAGTGGAATTCTCTCAAAAGCAAGGTGTGGCTTACAACAGCTATTATTCATTTCTTTCCTTTGAGGTGACGCTGATAAAGTGCTTCCGATCGAGGAACTCAGGGCCTGATACTAACTCTTAATAAGTGAGAAAGGTAACTGCTACAACAGAGGGCAAAGAAAAAGAATGGCACTGTCATCCCGTTTTTTTGGTTCAACAATGGAGTACTATGAAAAATAACCAAGAAAACATCAGATCATGCAGGATATTAATAACATTGAGAATTTCATGTAGCATCTTAAAACATGAAACTGATATTGAAGTCATTTATTATATCAACCAAATGACAAAATTCACCAGTTTCAGAGACACAAATGATATCAGTTTCGATGATTAGGGTTGAAGTGTCTATTCATAGCCCATTAAATATTTTTCTATATGCTATTAATATTTAGATGACTGAATAATCTTGAATCAGTGCTATTGCTTCTATGATGTTGGGTATTTTAAGCAATTTGCATGGTTTATTTATGAATGAAATGAAAAAAGAATGCTAAGAGTTTCCAAGAACTAATATGGCAGGCAGTGGGGGGTGGGGTCGAAGCCATGGACATCTTCTACCACTCTCTATCTGGACCCAAGTAAGAGAGTCCTCCAAGGACCTCTGTGACCATTGGCAACGTACTTAAGAAATAAATTATTTCCTCATGTGAAATGTCCTCAGGTATCCCTGAGGATACTTATAAAGTCTACATCATGGTGCACTGTGCACTAAACACTCACATGGAGCTCAATGATCTCACACTGCACCTCTCCTATTTTTTTTCTTTTGACAAGACTGGCTGACTTGGTGAGCACTTAAAAAGAATCAGAATGAATTTAGGTAGACTTATGTCACTAGAAACCTTAAAATGTGGGCAGTAGTTCTAGTCTTGCCTCAGAATTGCTATATGACCTTGAGAAAGTTACTTTGAGACCTACCCACTAATTCCATGGTTGATTATGGAGGTGAGGCTTCTTACTCTTTCCAGTGACAATAGCCTATGGATCATCATGCCAGTTGGTCACCCTGTGAAGCTCTCAGTCTCTCATTCCAGTGTGGGCTCAGTGGGGATGTTGGGACGACTCCAGGAAGGACCATGATTACCTCTAAGAGAAGACTGACTTGGAAGGGTGCTAAATGGGAAGCATGATGCTCTATCAGAATGACAAACCGTGTCCAGTTATTATTCAACACACCTATAGCTGGTCCAGGAGATGGGCTGCCCTCTAGAAGACTGGTGAAGATGAGTGTGGAGACAAAACATGTATTTTCATTTACTTGCTCTTAACTCTCTGCCTTCAAACTTTCTGTTTTCCCCTCCCTGCAAGCTCCATCCTCCCACAGTCTGGTCATTTCCTGGTCAATTTCAAGTATTAAAATGACTTTCATCTTTAGATATGAAAAATCCAGGTATCATAAATTAATATTTCACATTTTTATCCAATTCAAAGCTTTTCTCCCCCTAGATCAAGTCTGACTTGTGGCTTGGAGCTAGCAGTGGGAGAGAAGGCCATGTCCTCTCTTTATTTGCCTTGTTTCACCCACTCTCCTCCCTTATTCAGGGAATAAGAGCGACAAGAGCAGGGCTCTTCTTACTTAAGTGGAGGCATTGTAGTTCTGTCCTGTCAAATGCCTCTGACATAGCAAACTCAGGCAATCTGTGTGGTGCTCACTTGTGAGTTCTTCGGAGATTCCCTGTGGATGGGTCTGGACTAGACCACTCCCTAACATGGAAGTAAATGAAAATACATGTTTTTTCTGACCCTTCAGAAATCTTTTCTGCTGCTGTGTTCTAGTGGTACAGACCACAAAGACTTTAGCAGGCTGCACCATTGGGCAGATCCCTTTGGGGTTGCTCTTGCCAGGCTAAATTCCATGATGTCTACTTGACCTACCAGACAATAAGTGTGTAGCTTGGTCTCACTGTTTCCCTCCCTCCTTTATATGTTGCATAGAAAAGGAGTATGCACAGTCAAACCTCCTCTCAAAATCACTTCCAGTCTCTCCTAGAGTGGGTTTTATGACTTCTCCTTAGATTGTGGAGACACTGAGGAGAAAAAGACAGTTCAAAGCCGTGCGTAGTGGCACATGACTGTAATCCCAGTGGCGTGGGAGGCAGGGCAGGAGGATCCCAAGTTCAAAGCCAATCTCAGCAGAAGTCAGGCACTAAGCAACTCAGTGAGACCCTGTCTCTAAATAAAATACAAAATAGGGCTGGGATGTGGCTCAGTGGTCAAGTGCCCAGAGTTCAATCCCCGGTACCCTCCCCCCCTCACTGCCAAAAAATAGAAAAGAAAGAAAGAAAGAAAGAAAGAAAGAAAGAAAGAAAGAAAGAAAGAAAGAAAGAAAGAAAGAAAGATGACAGTTCATACTACTCCTAACCACTCCCCTTGATGAACCTCTTGATAATCTCTATGGTTTTCCCTTGCTAAATCAATACACAGAGCCAGGGAAGGGGATGCTTATAGTTGAAGGTCCAATACGGGTCTCCCTTACAAGGTGCTATGGAAACATTAGGATCTTATCTCTTCCCATTAATTGGCACTTCCTAGTTATTGTCCTCAAACAGACGGCTCACCCAAACTCTCCACACAAGAAAAGCACTACTCAACACTCTGATACACAGCATTCTTGTCTTACTCCATGTAAAGGCACAAAAAGGGGGACTTAAAAAGGATGATCTCTCAAGTTTAGAGTTTAGTGGGGGATTCATACGCGTGAAAAAATGAGATGCAAGTCAAAAGTAGTGAGTGGCAGAAAACAGCAGATCTTTGGGAGTTCAGAGAAAGGAGTGATTGTTTTTGATAATCTGGGTTTCTGGAGGAGAAAGCAACAGAGAAAGGAGAGAGATGCTAGGGATGGAACACGTAGTACTCACAACAAGACAGTAGGGATGGATAGATTTCAAAAACATTTTTGCTGAAAGAAGAGCATTTCAAATAGAAGGAAACAGCATGAGCAAGAGCTGATAAATATGGGGTAAGTGTTTTTCAATTTCACCATACTGTAGGGTACGTGAAAAGAAGCAGCAGGAGATAAAATTTGAAAAGGTGCGTTGGGCAGAAAACAGAAAATCTTGACGGCTGAGAAGGGTAGACATTCATCTGCTGCCCTCATGAGTCACTGACAATTGGATGCCATCAGTGTGAAATGACTCTTGTCAAGGCTCCTTACATTTCCAAGGAAGCAGTTTGAGGCTTGATATTGAGAAAAGACAATGCCATGGTGTGTTTAATTAGTTTATTCACTTACCTATGTATAATCTTGTTGGGTTCCCGTAAGATAAGGCAAAATACAAAAACAGCCAATAAGACAAGAAATGATACATAAAAGAGAAAATCAAGGAGAAAAATAAGATAAAGTCAGGAGGGGAAGTCAATTAGGGAAGAGCATGTCTCAAAGGCCGATTGGACGCTAATCTGTGTAGCAACTCCCTTAAAGAAAATTTCAACTAGCCGCATCTCTCCCCTCTTCCACGAGATTCAATCACACTCCATCAAGAAGATAGAGAAAGGAGGTGATTAGGAACATAACTACCCAAGAACAGAAACTCTGAAGCTCATGGGCCCGAGGGAGGCTAGAACACTGAAAATTCAAAAATGGGCTCACTTCCTTTATTTCTAAACAGCATCTTCTCTCTCTTAATTTTTCCATTCTTACTGTTTCTTACTGGGCTTCTACTCATTGACCTTGCAAATGTTCCCCGAAGGTTGGCAATAGGGCTGAGTCTCCATAGCCTTTCTGCTTCTTTTCCCAAGGTGATGAGCTCAGTCTCTCATTGCCACAGCTGCAAAACTTTTAGAGAGGAAATGTATTGACCCACTTGAGTAAAATGTCCACCATGAAGCCAGTCATTTTCTGTGAGTGAAGGTGGGGCCATATAGCTGAGCTCCATGTAGGCCAAATACTCCAGCAGATGAGAGGAAGCAGTATCTAGAGAAGTGGATGAGGGAGGGAATTTCTCCATGACATATATTTCTTCCATAAATCCCACCAGTGCTTTGCTGAGCACTTTTTCTGGGATGTGATCCCCTTGGCGAAGCTGGTGGGAGATAAAAATCTTTTCACCTTTGACATGTCATGAGGTTGGAGCTTCAGGGGCACAGTTGGTTAGCAAATGGTACTTATGAGCAATGTCATGAGATGCACTCAGAATTTTGCATGTAGTTCTGATGGGTTTATGAATCTCGAGAAATCTGACTTGCATGTTTTGAAATATTTGTAAAGCAGATCAACTACATGACATCCAAAGGATGCTGAGCAATTAAAGATTACATTTTGATACTAGAACTTGAAGTGACAGAATCTTCCCTTGTAGCAAGCTCTATGCCAGAGTTAGTAAGGGATGAAACAAACAAAGCAGGGTTTCTTCCCTCAGGGAGCTCACAGGCTGCTGAGTACATAGGTAAACAACTGAATTTAATGCAAGACACCCTCCCATCATAGCAGCTTTGTGAGTAATGTGCTGTGGGAACTCATGGATGGGGTGATTAATTCTGAGTAAAATGTATGATTTTGTAAGCTTGCATTCCTCTGCACACTGTCCGATAGCATATGTCATCATCATTTTAAGGAAATCTGGACAATTCAGAACAGTTTCTCTGCTTAGGGATGAACAGCACTACTATCCAAGTTGGTATTTCAGAGCTTCTCATTGTGTTTAGCTTAATTTATGAAACCCATTGTACTGCAATGTGCTGCAGAGCAGAGAACACGGGGCTTTACAGTCGGACAGACCTGAGTTCACATCTTCACCCCGTCACTCACTAGCCTTCTTTAAGCAAGGGGTTCTACTTCTTTAAACCTCATTTTCATCATCTGTAGAATTTATCTATTTTACGTTGCTTGTTCAGGGAATAAAGATGATATTTATAAAACACTTGGCACAATCTCTAGAACCTAGCAAGTGCTCCAAGATGGTATTTATTCTTTTTGTTGTTATTTATACTCAGGAAAACAGATTCCCTGTTAGAAATATTAGAATTCTCTAATATGGAAAAAATCAAAATGCTCTATGTAAGTTTATTCAATGCTCTGTGTGTTGTTTTAGTCAGCTTTTTTTTTTTTTTTCCTGCTGCAACTGAAAGACCTGACCAGAACAATTGTAGAGGAGGAAAAGTTTATTCAGGGGCTCATGGTCTCAGAGGTCTCAATCCATAGGCAGCCAGCTCCATTCCTTAGGGCTTGAGGTGAGGCAGAACAGTATGGCAGAGGAATGTAGTAGAGAGAAGCAGCTCACATGATGATCAGAAAACAGACAGACTCCACTCCCTAGACACAAAATATATTCCTAAGAGGCACACCCCCTCTTACCCACCTCCTCCAGCCACACCCTACCTACCTTTAGCTACCACTTAGTAAATCCCATCAGAAGATTAATTCACTGATTGGGTTAAGGCTCATAACCCAATCATTTCTCTTACAAATCCTCTTGCAGCATGAAGCTTTGGAGGGGCGGGGGGCAAAAGCTTTGGAAGGAAACCTCACATCAAACAGTAACAGACATCAACCAGTTATTGCTACAAGAATGCCAAATAAAACCTACCCCCAACATTCAGGGGCTTATGCCCCCCAAGCAGTTATTCTCCCCACTAGCGGGATTACAGCCTGACTATCATTCAGAGAATCTAGGTTGCTCAGCACAACCATGATGCTTTAGAATGTAGATGAATTGATTTTGGTCATGCTTTGGGGTTTGATTCAGTTCTTTACATTCTCCATTTAGGGACAACCTGAAAGGACAGACAGTATATATTCTCCCTGAGAGTCACAGAGAGCAAAAGAGAGCAAGGTGAATCAGGCAAGAATGCTTAAAACCAATGTTAACATCTCTTTGGCTACGCAATGTCACACAGTGAAGCCCCAAATTAACTCCACCTCTATGAAGCCAATAATTCAATCTACCACAATTCTTTTGTTAAAAAATAAGATTAAAAGACCAGAAACTATAATGAGCATGTGTAAGAGAATTGACCAAAGAGGTAGAGACCAAATGCACAGAGATGTCACTATCCTTCTCTCCAATACCCTCTTTATGAATTGTGCAGTCACATTCCATCTTGGATACTGGAGGGCAGAGAGAATGCCAAACCGTTCAGCCTCTGCCTTCTGTGACCTGGGAATATGGTCTCTTCCATCCCTGACCTCAGCCCACACTGTGTATCCAAGCAATGACTTCTGACGGCAACCACCAAGAGTTAGGCCAGATATTGCAGGTGAGGTGCTCAGCCTCCACAAGACTGCCCAAGTTCAGCCTCAAGTCTGGGGTTCATCTGACCACTTGGTTGCAAATTTAAGGGTTTCCACTACCTTCTCAGATACAATAATTTGCTACGGCAACTCACAGAATTCAGAGAAGCACTATGCTTGTGATGGCACTTTTATTTATAGCAAGAAGATACAACTCGGAACTAGCCAAAGAGAGACACAGGGGGCAAAGTCTGGAAGGAGTCCTGAATGTGACTTCCATTGTCCTTTCCCCATGGGGTCAGGATGCCTCACCGTCCTGACACACAGATGTATGACAATGTGCAGGGTACTGCTAACCAGGGAAGCTCAAATGAATATCAGAGTCTAGAGTTTTTATTGAAGGTTTTATTATTAAACATGGCTGATTGAATCATTGACCAAAGACTGAGCTCAATTTCCAGCCACCTCTTACAGATCATGCTGATAGGTGGCTCAAAAACTTAGATCTAATCCCACAGTTGGTCTTTCGGTATGGCCAACCTCATTCCTGAGTAATGTTGTTAACATAATATCCTCCTCAAAGGTACCATCAGTCATCTTATTAGCATAAACTATCAGAACCCACCATGAAAAAGAGAGATTCTCCTGGCACCCAGGGATGTGAAGGAAACATCTCAGAAAGTAGGGACAAAGGCCCATCAAATTCTTTAATATGCAGTTTATTCACATCTTCCCTTGGTCTTCAAATTGTCTGAGGAGATGTCTCTCTCCCCCCTGCACACTCCACAGGCCCTAGCCTGCCACCCTGCTTGGGAATCACTGATGGAACTGCTAATGGCAAGAGGGTGGACAGTCATAGAGCTTTGGAATAAACGTGTTGAAAGGCGTTTTGGATACCATTTAAACATTTCAACAAGCTCATTTTGAAAAAAGTAAAGAATCAGAGAGTTTAATGGCTAACCCAGGACACACAATGAACCAATGAAGACCTGCTTCAGAGTTTTGTTATCCCAAACTGAACATCAGTCCCTACCACCCTGTCTCTACGTGCACAAATGCAAACATAAGCATCCACCTTCTACCTTCTGTTTATCAGACAAACCCAAGATAAGCTGTGAAAAGGGAAGGAAAGCAAAAACTGAAACATGATTATTTTAAAATTTTTATTAATACATATTAATTGTACATATTAATGGGATTCAGTGAGGTTGTTCCGTAATACAGTGCACATAGATCAGATCTAACCACCCCTCTCCCTCCCTCACATCCCCTACCCCCAGCTTCCTGGTCTCCAGTTATCACTATTCAGGTTGATTTTTTTTTCCAGTTTTCACATATGAAAGAGACCAGGCAGTGCTTGTATTTCTACATTTGGCTTATTTCATTTAATAAAATGTCTTCCGGTTTCATCTATCTAAAGAAGAATGACAGGATTTCATTCTTCTTTATGGCTGAATAATGCTCTTGTGTGTGTGTGTGTGTGTGTGTGTGTGTGTGTGTGTGTTTCTTTGTTGATAGGCACCTAGCCTGATTCCATACTTTAGCTATCATGATTAGCACCCCCATAAACATGGGCTATCAGTTCTCTCTGATGCTTTTATTTCCTTTGTATATATGCCTAGAAGTATCATGGTAGTTCTAGTTTTAGTTTTTTGAAGAACCTCCGTATTCTCCATAGTAGCTATGCTAAGTTACAGCTCTAATAACTTAAGTTCCTTTTTTCCATACCCTTATCAGCATTTGCGGTTTTTGTTGTTATTGTATGTTTTAAATCATAGTAGTCAAAGTGGTGTGAGACAGTATGTCATGTATTTTTTATTTGCATTTTCTTGGTGGCCAATAATTTTTAAATATGAAGTTTCTAATTCCTAATGTCTCCACACTTATCTGCTCTGTCTTGAAAATGCATTTCATTTTCATCAGTTTGGTAGAGTATATGACTTCTAAGAAGGATGTAGTCATCTTTTTAGAAAATAATTGTTCTTTTTAATTGCCCATTTCTAATCCCTAAATTAAAAAAAAAAAAAACAACAAACCCCTAGGGTCAAAAACACAATACACCACTCTTATCTAGAAGCAAGATTTTTCTTTGGGTTTTTTTTTTCCCTGAGTGGAATGTGCATTAAAAAACTCCCGTTTATGTGTGTATCCAGGAAGAAACAGAACACACTCCTGGCACAGTTCCTGGTACATTGAATTGCTCAGAGAATGCTGGTTGAATGACTAATAGATGGAGTGCTTTCTTTAATTACCAAGCATACAAAGATTAGTCTAGTCAAATGCCTATTTATTCTAATTCTCCACTTTCCTGGGAGATAATATTTGTGTTGCATACCCCATGTGGAAGGCTATCTTCCTCTTTTACTTACCATCTCTGGTTTGTTTGCTTGTGGAAAAAATGTGTGTGTCATGTGGTATGGTAAATGTAATAATTCCAGGCTTTTTAATGCATTACTTTTCATTTCTAAGGGTAAAGCAAGGAAGAGAGAAAGCTTGTATAGAATTATGCTTATGGGGCTGGGGATATGGCTCAAGCGGTAGCGCGCTCGCCTGTCATGCGTGCGGCCCAGGTTCGATCCTCAGCACCACATACCAACAAAGATGTTGTGTCTGCCGAGAACTAAAAATAAATATTAAAAATTCTCTCTCTCTTTCTTTCTCTCTCTTTCTCTCTCTCTCTCTCTCTCTCTCTTTTAAAAAAAAAGAATTATGCTTATGTAGTTGTAAACCTTAAACTCATATTTGCTGAATCTGAATTCTAGTACAAGACACAAGATAATGTGTATCTCAATTTTTTATTCTTAATGATAAAATTGTAAAGCAAAAAATATGCTTGTGTTTCAGTGAGTTCAACACATGCCTACCCAAAGCTGGCTCCATTTCGACCAGCAGGACAGCTCCTCTCTCCACCTTTGCTGCTCTCCGTCTTCTTGCATTCCTGTTTCACCTGCATTGTGCAGGTCTGTGCATTTCTCTATGTGAAGCAACAACCCTGGTATTGTGAGGTCTACCGAGACGCGTGAGTTCATTTTCTTAGCTTTCCATTCTGATGATGTAATTAGATAGAGCTTGGTTCAAACATATATCCTAAAATTTTAATAAACAAAAATTGAGTCTCCATGCTTCAAAACACAAGTGATAAAACAGAAAACAGTTAATAGTGGAGTGCTGGATGAGCCATGTGGAGAGGGTGGGGAAGATCTGTCACACTGCTGATTGATGTGTACATCTCAGCGGGTTGACTGTGTGAATTATCCATTCCTTGGTGGTTTGAATTTCCCATAGACCAAGGACTGGGAAACATTTCCTGTTGATGAGCCAGACAGTAGATATTTTAGGTTTTGTGATCTGGATGGTCTCTGTTGCAATTAGTCAATTCCACTGTTACAGTACAAAAGCAGCCATAGACAATATGTAAATAAGTGGGCGTGACCATGCTCCAATAAAGCTTTGTTTATAAAAACAGGTGGTACATTGGATTGGCCTGTGGGTTATAGTTTGCTGGTCCCTGAAACAGCCATACAGAGAGATTAGCTTAAATTAATTTGGATTTTTCCAATGAACATTACAATTAAATGTTAGTTGATGGTATTGTTGCTCTGATGGAATTGGAACATTAGACTGAAGAAAAGTCTCTTCACCTCCTAGGCTTTCTTTGTTTAACTATATAAATCAAAGGTAAGATGAAGTAAACTTTATCATAGATGTGAAAACTTTAATTTTTCTGAGGAAGCCTCCCTGACCCTAAAAGAAAACAGGAAAAGAGCTTTCTGGAAAAGTGCATGCACACATACTACACCCCATCCTCCCACCATTGTGAGAGTGAAGGCATCAGAAATCCAGAAATCAGTGAAACTCATATGGAAAACTATCAAATGATGTCTAAGGTTGTCGTTTAGATCTCAAATTCAGCAATTAGGATATTACTTGAAGTACAGAACCTTGTTTAGACTCAAAACCAGATTCCCTTCTCCCCCAAATTGGAGTACATACACTCACTCTATCAGTCAAATTCTGATAGAAACCACAGTGTGGTGAATAGCAAATGGACAGGAAATAGGGATAGTTCTGTTTCTATCCCTAACTGGCTGTACAATACTGGTCAACTGTAATTCAGCCCATCTAATCTATTTGTCTATTTGCTATTTGTCTATTTGTGTGTGTGTGTGTGTGTGTGTGTGTGTGTGTGTGCAAGAATGTGAGTTCTGATCCTTTGTTCCAAGGGTTTATTTTGCAAACATTAACTGGACATCTACTATATCAAAGCACATTTCTGGACCCTAGGGAGCCCAGGATAGTGATTTTATGTCTGGCATTTGAATTTACAATTGGAGAATGAATCTTATCAATAAAGTTATAACAGTAATTATAAACTTTCAAGCTAAAGAAGAAAGCTAATAGAAAATAATGTATAGGTTTTATTATTGGGGGGAGAACAAAAAAGAAGAGGAAGAAAAAAAAACACTGAAAATACACCAGTCAGGACTGGGAAATCCTGAATCGTATGCAAGCATTTTTCTGAGTAAATATTATATGACCCCACTGTACTGTGCCTAAGGATTTGTTATAAATTTAAGTAAAACAAAACAAATCAAAATCAAAAGAAAAATTCCATATTCAAGGAAATAATACCCCTCAGGTGGAAAATAATAATATATCAACAAAATCATTGCAAAATAATGAGCTAAATGAGCAATAGAGGGAAGAATAGAATGTGTTAGGTTCACTTCCCAGTAAAAGTAATTTTAAATATAATGATATTTGAAAGGTAAGTGCTACTTCAGTTAAAGGGAACATGCCAAATTGATCAGTTTGCAAACTGTGGCATTTTAGGAACAGGGGATAATCCCATCTGTCAGGAGTGTAAGGAGTGTGAGAGAAGTGACAAAAGATGACAATGAAATTGGGGGTCGAAAAGGGGATGTGAAGGTTTCCTAGATCAGTCTGAAAAGTTTCCTTAATTTATTGGCAAAATGGCGTATAAATTACATACCTCATCATAGGAAGCACATAATGTTCAGGAAGATTTTTTTCTATATAAGGAGAGAGGATTAGAGTAGGGAGATTCAAACTCAGGACATAGGAGGCTTCCCAGTAGTGCATGAAGAAGAACGAACACACACACACACACACACACACACACATACACACACACACACACACACACACACACACA